AATATATGACATAATTTACCCCCAAAATTCTACCTTATCATATGGACTTTTATGTAACGTTCATCCAGGAAAGATAAATTTTTTTAGTTTTTTAACTCCCGCCAGATGTGGCTACAGATCATTTTGTTTGATTCCGAGCGTTGAAATATATGAAGAATTATTCAAACTTACTTGCTGCTGCCACATACGCGTGTATCTCACCGATTTTTAGAATTGGAGTGTTTATTATTATTCCCTCTTTTAAAAAAAAGGGGGTAAGATTTTTAGATTTCTTATCAAATTAAAAAATCAAAATAGAGAAAATTTAAGTATGAGTAATATTCCTAAACTTAATTTTTATATATAAAAATAAATTATTACGAAGATTACTGGAGATAAGTTTTTAGAGCCTATGAATTGTCTATGATTTTAGAAGTTTCAATTAGCCTTTATGATTTGGTTAGTTATCCATTTACATGACAATAAGTTTATGTTTTCTAAATTTAGCTACGATTGGTAAGGTTTAATAAAATCACAGTGATCACATTGTAAATCTTAGGACTATAAAGACTTATAAAGACCTAATTAAAGTTAAAATTCAAACAATATGGAGAAGCTAAAAAGTTTAATACTATAGAAACTATTATAATTTGGTTTAAAATTTATTAATAATGTTTAGTTTTATAATTAAAAGTATTTTTAAAATTTTCGAAAACTCTTTTACGGTATTTTGGGTGAAATGTTTAATTAATATTTAACTAAGAAAGTTAATTGTCAATTTGAAAGATCTTCACCCATGTTTTATTTAACTTAAAAATGAGAAATAGAAAATGACGTCAGTAAGTAATTAACCTATGGATCATGGACCATTTTGTATGACCGGATGGCCCAAGACTTGGAATAATACATTACTAATATAATATGTTTAATAACCTTTAAGAAATATAATATTGCTTATTAAAAACACTCTTTTTATTTTAATTGAAGAAAAGGAAAAACAGAAAACAAGAGGTTAAAATATTTCTCATAAGTCATAACTACGAAGGTCCAAACGTTTTTAAAATGGTTAAAATACATAGTCAATAACCTTACTAGGTATAGTACTATATAGTATATATATTTCAAAGATTCCTCCCCTCACTATTTAATCCATAATCAAAGATTTATATTTCTTCAAATATCTCTAAAACTGAATTATTGACTTATTCTGCACCCTCCCTGTTTGAATCCTTCCATAGAAAAAAAGAAATAGAGAATTTATTTTTTTAATTAAAAATTGCAAAAGACGTATTTAAGAAAGACAAGGCTTAGAAATTGCAAAGAGAAATAAAGCATATTGAACATGAGGAAAATATTATTATATGGTTGATGGGATTAAATAATGCAGAAAAGTGTGTGTTTGGTTGGAGAAAATGAGAGAATTTTAGGGGGAGAGAATCAGCATGTGGTTTGTGATAAATATGATATGTAAGGGATGGCGATGGGGATTTAATTTGAGGCGTATAAGCTATATATACATATATTATATTATAAGCTCTATTCTTCTTAAGTGACATATATATATATATTATTTCATGAAAATGATGCAAAACCCACCACGTGATTTTAATTTTTTCTCCAAATAATCCACTCCTACGGATCACTTCTCCGGAGAATTCTCAAGAGTGTTTTCTTGGTTAAATGTTATATCACATTTTAAAATTCAAAGGGGTTTTTAACCTTTGTTTCATATGGAGATCAAACTAAAATAGAGTTCCTTATAAATTGGTTGTTGCTATAAAATCTATGTAACTTATAAATATTAGATCATTCATTTCTAAGGTATCATATTTTTTTATCTATGTGACATAAAAAATAAGTCTATACCTAGTGTCAAGTTTATACTAATTATTTGTTGCGACAAAATTATCCAAATTTTTTTTATCCATCTTGTYGATGGATGTACCCAAGTTTATGTTTGATATATATGAGATCTATTACTCATATAGGCTATGCATAAATTAAAAAACTAATATTTTTAAATACTACGTTCTAACTTAATTTTAATAATAATTGTACACAATAATATTAATCATTAACCCTATACTTGAAAGTATAGGTAATTACACAAATTCAAGTTTTTATAACTTATTCTTTTACATAAATATTGAAATAAGTATATATATGGTATGACTTCAAAGTTTGTAAAATCATGCTTATTAAAAATTTAAAACTATGAATATACCCTTTGAAAATAAATACATATAAAACCTTATATCTTAATAAGCGAGTAATTTCTATGTCATAAAACAGAAAAGCCATGGAAGCCCTAGTTTATTATTTTTCACTTTTTCTAATTGAAAACCAATTACATAATAAAGATTTTTATAATATACATAGTTACTATTTCCAGTATCAATTGATTTTAAGATAYAACCTATCGATTTAGTAAAATCTACCAAAAACAAAAACCACTTAGTTTTATCTTAAGATTCAATCATTTATTGAAATATAATTAATAATATCATGTTTGAATAATTAATATATTAAATAATTTTGTACGTATGATACCTTATTAAATTATTTGTGTGATCTGTAGTCCCAAAAAAAAAAAAAAATTTATTAGTAATTTCAAAATTTCACCAGCAATATTTGATATCATATTTTATTTATGTTATAATTAAATAATGTATTTAATAGACCCATTTTACATGCTAGAATTAAGGTATGTACCCTTGACTAAAATATCGTATATTCGAATCCATCCTTACATGTATTGAATAGAATCCTATCGAAATTAAAAGACAACAATTCATAAATTATTTTTACCCATGATCGGAGGTAGAAGATTTGTTAAAAATGGCCAAAAAATACAATAAAATGTTACTTGCCAATCTGGATATAGTTGATTTGTTTAAGATATATAACTTCCATTAAACGAGGGTAAAGGTTTGAATGATAAAAAAAAAAAAAAAATTTATTTCACATAAATGGGAATTAATTGTTTCCTGCACTGGATGTGAACTCGAATTAGTACTAAAAATTGAAAAACTGGAATTAAATATTAAAAAAGGTTCCTCAATTTTATAGCACCCATCCACGACGTGTCGCATTCTCAGTAATTTATGGAAGGATATTTCATTAATATGTAATTAAAAAAAATATTAAAATTAAACTCAATTTTACTTTAACATTAAAAGAATTAAGGATTAATCTATAATAAAGTAAGTCAACCATGATAACAGCCCCCTTAAAAAGAAATTAGTTGACCTATTAATTTGAGAGAGAGGAGTGTGACCAAGTGTGTCCGCAACCTAGGATTAAATAACTTAATTAATTATACTAAAAACTTAATTAATTAGATATAAGTAAGCTAGCTAAAATCATTAAGAGTATTAAATTAGTTTTAGTTTAATTTAAGTTAACGAAGATACGCCACGTAACCCGTTTGATCACGTGCATGGCAACATGCCTTCTTACGCTTTGCATCTAATTAATTAATTAATTAATTTTAATAATCTGTATTATTCCTCATATTTCTCCCTAAATCCACGACTGGAAGCTCACTGTATCACTCCCATTCGTGCCGACCATTTTCAGTTTTCCCCTGCAAATTACCATTCTATCCTTGCCTTAAATATCAGACAAACCTACAAGTGGAGAAATAAATATTATTTTATTTATTTTAATATTATGAAATAAGAAATTGCATTTTTTTAAAACAAAATCCAAAATAAACATTTATTATATAATTAACCTGCATGTAAGGAATATATGCAAATGACTAAAGAATATCAGAAATAGAACCAAAAAAAATAAAATATAAGTTCATATAAGTTTTTTTATTCCATTTATTATATAAGTTTTTTTTTTGTTTATGTTAATGATTAAAATAAATACTTGTTGCAACTTGAGAAAATATTTAAGAGAGGGTATAGTGTAGAGCATTTGAAGATGGTGGTGTGATTAATGAACTCATTCAATGATTCATGACTTATTTTCATAATTGTCCAATCAAAATTTGTTGTCAAACAGTAAGTTATCTTTTACACGATGTATAAGCATACAATAATAATCAATTAAGAAACCAAAAACTAGTTGGATTAATTGGCATTGATGATGCAACAATTTTTTTTTTTAATTTGCATTTTTTTTTTTTGGAAATCAACAATAATGAAGACCAATGCTTTTGTTTGTTAATATTAAGGCAGCACATTGAGTCATTTTTTGAGTGTTTGTTATTTGTACCTAGCTTTCTTTCTCTAGACTTGGAAAGTGATTGAGTTGTTATATCAGTAAACTAATTTATGTTTGTAAATGTTAAGTTATAAATAACTGTGCAGAGGAGACTAAATATTTAACAATGAGAAATCCTATTACCTCTATATAAATTTTGAGATTGTTCTCCCATTAAAATTGGAAGAATTAATTAGAAGCATACTTTGTTTATAATTTTTTTCCTCTATTGAAAATCATTAAAAAGCTGTTTAAAAGTTTAGGCTAGCTAACTAAAATTTAAATTATTCTTTCAATAATTACTCGGGTAATATAAATTATCGTATATATTTTTACCCTCTCCTCAGAAAACTTCAATCAGAGAAGAAAAGAAAGGAAGATAAAATAGAAAAATGAAACTATTATATGAGAGGATGGGAGGGAATTAGGAAAAATAAAATATAAATGATTAATTTTTTCATCCATGATATTAGAACACACGATGTTACATTGTATTTCAAATTCCTGTAATATCATTCATAAGATACCATTTTAAACATGTTAAATCACCGCTAATCAAAAAAAGTCTAAGTTGATTTGAATAATTCATAAACTAAAATGATGATGATTTGGAAATTAGAGAAGTTGGATGATTAGTGGTGTGATATTATTAAAGAGGGGGTAGGGGGAAGGATATAAGAGTAATTTGGGGGACAAAATTTCAAAGACAACCAAGTGAGGTTTGACTAATCAACGTCAATCACTTTCAATTCATGTACTGTATCGAATGGGAAGAAGCCACGTGGGGTGTGAGAGCAATCCGCCTGTTATACAGCTCCGATCTCATGAACTGAAGCTGTGTTTCTTCCCATACACACGCTCACACCCTTCCTTGGTCCTAACGGCTCTCCAACCGCCCACGTTTCTCTTCACACCCTCTTCACTCTACATAAATTCCATTATTCCCTTCTTCTCTCCTCAGGCTCACACACCCCCATTTCCTCTCTTTTTTTGATTCTGAATAATAATAATAATAATAATAATAATGTTCTCTCCAATTTCCGACCACCAGATCCCCCACGCGCCGCCTCTCCTCCCTCCTCCTCCTCCGCCGCTGCATCTCCAGCGGAAATGGAAGCCCCACCTCGAAGCCGCCCCCAATTGCCCCCGCTGCGCCTCCGCCAACACCAAGTTCTGTTACTACAACAACTACAGCCTCTCCCAGCCCAGATACTTCTGTAAAGCCTGCCGCCGCTACTGGACCAAGGGCGGCTCCCTCCGTAACGTCCCCGTCGGCGGTGGCTGCCGCAAGGCCCGCCGCGCCAAATCCTCCCTGCCACGTCCCCACTCCTCCGACCGGCTAAATCCAAATTCCACTAAATCTGACGATGCCAGCTCATCCAGTACTGGATCTGACATCGATCTCGCCGCCGTTTTCGCCCGATTCTTGAACTCCGACGACTCGCCCCCCACTGGGCCCCACGCGTTGACCAGCTCCCCATTGCCCGATAATCTGACGCCGGAGAGCAATTCCGAGATCTTCTTCGACGGGCTCTCCGATTTAATTCTCGACGAGCAACACAAAAAACAGGAAATTACGGGAAATAATTACCAGAATTTCCCATTTGAATTGGGCGTAGATGATGATGAACTATGGCCGGAATTGGAATTGGAGCCGTTTGCGAATTGTCACGTGCGGGTCACGGACCAGTTCTGCCAAGTTGGGGATAATTGGAGCTCCTTCGACATCCCACCTGGTTTTGAGGTTCTTTCCACGCCGTAAATATATATAATTCTCCAATAATATTTACATCATATACATTTTTCCATCTTATTCTTCCGTCAAACAAAAAAATTAAAATATATATATATATTGATACCAAGAAATTTTCCATGCTAGATATATAGTACATGGGATTATATTCCATACTGTTACATTCAAAACTATATATTAAAATAAACACTCGTAGTTAATTTTCAAATACGATTTCTCGTTTTATTTTTCATGGTCTTGATGATCTTTTTGGATGTTTAGTTGAATATGGTTGCTTGGGTTTACGGAAGAGTCAAATTAACTGTATAGTAAACTCTGCGATTATAACCCTACAACTACAAAAGCTAAAGAAAGTCAAAAGCTAAGTTTTAATTGCCAAGAAATCTCAGAAATAAATTGAAAATGATCTTTTAACATACACAGCTACTGCTTCGCGAAGAGTGAGGGAAAAGAATGATAAACAAATTAATTGTATGCAGTTTGTATGTATATTTATGCATATATAGATCCTTTGAGATTAAGTTAAATCACCATATAGATCCTTATAAAATAATGTTAGTTCATTGCCATAATTATATGTGAACACAATTTTAAGTGGCATGGCATTATTTTCTATAATTGCTCATTTTTAGCCAAACTCTTACCATAGTTTGGTAGATTAGTCCATTTACCATTCACACATGCTTTATAGCGAGCCATCCAGCTCGTTTTATCACAAAGTTAAATGTACAGTTACAAATATATGACCAAAATATTTAGTAAAATTCGTAAAATAACAATCACATTTAATTTTTTCAAATATAACATTAATTTTAATGACAATTTTACCCAAATAATATACCTTTGTAATATATGTATATGATATACTACTTGAAATATGTATGTAACATACATTTGATATACTACTAATATCAGTGTCTGATATAAGGGAAATTTTGTGTCAATTTTCCAAAATTAAATATGCCAACTCAATTTAGCATTCTCCAAATTATTGAACAACTATAATCCAACAAATTAATGAAAACTGTCTACCTATGTTGAATTAGGTTTAGGTTGAGCTAGCAATCGTTACCTAATACATTCATATTTGGACCAAGGGACAAATAAGTAATGGTTTAATTATATTTAATCTCCAAAAATTAAAATATGTTTTCTCATTTAAAGTTGCATATATGTTTCATGAGTCTCATATAAACATGAGCTTATTCTTATGAATTGTTTTGAAACATTTGATGCATTATGACATTGAAGTAGGAAACTGATTGGTGTAAATAAGAAATGGGGAATGGTTTTAGCATCCATAGGGAGGAAGAAAAAGTCAAAGTGGTGATGTGAAGAAATCACATGGGGATTGTTGAAAAAGGAAGCTCATAAATGTGTGAAATTAATGGCAGTGTGGTTACGTTTTCCAAAACCTATTTTGTGGCTGTGGCAGATATCAATTCATAACAACAAACTCCCTCCCCCTTCATTGAATGTCTTCGAGCCACCTCATCCCGGGCCCACCGGATCTCACATTCTAACTACAATATATTTATTACAGAAATCCATCACCAAATTTGAGTTTAGACTGTATTTGATACCTAATATTTAAAGATAGATTAAATAAATATTAACTTCAAACTTTAGTAATTAGAAAGCGTACTTTCTTTAATTATAATTGTTGGAGAAAAAAATATGACCTATCACGTGGCGAGATATGGTCGAGCTACTTAGCTCATCTACCGTCGAGCTCCCAAGTTCACTTATGGCCGAGTTAATTAGCTCGTCTACCACCGAGCTCCTTAGCTCACCTACCGATGTGCTACTAAGCTCATCTAGGGTCGAGCTACTAAGCTCATCCATAGTTGATTTCAATCATTGCGGACCTATGGCCCGAAATCTAATCGCCTTATCGTACGTAACGGCCGTAACGAATGTGTCATTTTACTCTATCTATAAAAAGATATTCATTCCTCTTTCTCAGGTATGCAATTCTGCTCCGAGAATGATCTATTTGAGCTCACGCCTATACTGATTTGAACGTCAGAGTGTTTACTTTCTTTTTGTATGTCCTACCTTGCATGAGCTGGCACCTCGTTAGCTCGACCAGTTGCTACGTGGTCGATCTCGACAGCTTGACAGAATTTTGCATCAACAATAATAATTTTGCACCACCCTCTTTGGTTCCTTATATGTTCCTCATGATTTCTTTTTTACAAATATTATCGCTCTTTAATATTATATATGACCGTATCAAAAATGGGAAGAATTTGAACGAGTCAAACTATATTCAAATTGGTAAGATTATTGTAACTTTAAAATTTTATTACAATATTATTGTAACTATCAAATATATAGTAATCAATACGAGCATAGTTCAACGGTAAATGATATTCACCGTTTGTTTTAAGTTTGGATGTCAGAATATGTACTAAAAAAAATATGAAACTTGTCCCATGAAAAGTAAACTCAGAGAAAATAAAATTGTAAACTTGCATTGTCTCAAGTTTTTTCTTTATTTATTATTATTTCTTTTTTATGTTTTATAAACCTCCAGAAAAATTGTAAAATCATCACTGTATCCAGATGAACTCATATATGTCTAACAAAAAATTAATCACTTTTTCTACTTAGTTTTATTTTTACAATATGTTACAAGTTTAAAACAAGACCGACAACACATTTTATCTAATTTAAAAACCTTGTTCCATGATAACCTGAACATAACTGGATTAAAAGGTTGAAGGTTGGAATCTTCAATTAAAAAAATAAAAATAAAAAATCCTGCTAGACCATTCAATTTTACTCTTTGATATTTATATTGCATTAAAATAACATATTTAAAGAAAATAATATTGATTTAATTGTTCCCTTCATGGAATCCAAGCCCAACAGCTCTTGAGGCCCAAGCCCAATTGTAATTGACACATAGTGTCCCCCTTAAGTCCAACTTAAGAGTCAACTTTATTTTTTAGACTAAATTTTAAGTTTAGCTCACCAACATTATGGCGGATTCAGGAGGGAAATTGATTGGACATATAAAACCTTTGGTTGGAAATTTAAAATGCGTCATTAATATGTTAAATGCTTTATTAAAATTATTAAACTAAGTGTATATATAAATAAAAGATATATCTTTATCACCATTTTAGAAATAGAGTATTAAAACATTAGGTTAGACATATCGCCATCACTTTTGATTTTAAAATAAGAGGAAAAGAGGATTCGATATTAAAAAAAAGGCATGAATATTCATTCATGAAGCATGCCTTGAGCCACCTTCCCTGCACATTAATTATCTAGATCCGCAGCATTGTATTTACCATGTTCCAGAAATGCTTGTTTACTAGGAGTATCAATTCAGTTCACACTTCCAAAAATTATTTTAAAATGATTTAATTTAATCGAAAACAACCCAGTTAAATTTAGTCAAGTTGTGTGCTGCTGCCCAACTTGATATGCCAGAAAGCAACATTTTGCTGAATATATACACATATATCTAACATTATTTTATACTTATTATAATTATAATGGAATCTTCTACTCTTAATTTTAACATATTTGAGTTTATGAAGTATAGAACTTGTTAAAGGTCTCACGTTGAAAAGATAAGAGACTTAACAATAATGGTTTATAATAGACATGAGCTACTCTTCTCTTTGTCAATTGATTTTGAAATAGAACCTCGTGAATATTGATGTGCTATAGGATCCATGAACCAAAAGAATCATGATCCTGAGGGATGAATATTAATATTAGTAAAGCTGAAAAAAAAATATGTTCTCCTTAAACTTCTGATTCCACCTCGCCTAACTTTTTTCTAGTACTCACGAAGAAAAGTAGAAATGCGTTAATAAATTGGAATGGTGTAGAAACGTATATCTTCTATCCACAATCTTAATCTTTTTTTTTTATTGAACAAATTTAGAGAAAATTCTTCTTGAACAACCATTAAATGGGAATTCTCCAAAGCTAAATATGCAGAGAGATGAAGTTAATGGTGATTAAGAATAGTGTTTGAGCTCGAAATCGCTGAACTCGGATGGTACAGGATGAGCTATGACTCACAGTTCAACACCTTTCCAGAACATTCGCGAGACCTGCAAAATAAAGTTAGCACTCCGATGAACAAGTTAGTTCTAGTCCGAGCTAACGTGCCGAGTCTATCTAGGATTGCATACCTTGCATTTAAGGTCATGGTTTCTATTTATAGAAACCRGGCCCGACAGGAACTCTGACACACCCTAAAAACACGGCGTGTTGTCGGGTTCGGAAGAGACCGCATTACGGACTTTGTCATTGGTCGGCTCGGTCTCTTAACTCATACTCTGACTGCCGACCTGAGTGTTTTGGATTCGATCCTTATATTTTACGTGCACGTTGATTTAACTCGCCTCTTCGAACCTGACACGTGGCAAGCCATAATTCGTATCCAACAAATAGTTAGAGTCTCATGTTTAGCAATTTTCTTTAAGTTGGGGGAGGGGATAATTGATTACATTAAAATTTTGAGATAAGATTATTGTTATAAGTAAATATAATTCAGGGTGGTTTTTAAATTTTTTTCTGAAAATTATATTAGGCTCTATCCATTTTGAGTAGAAGAATATTCCCAGAACATCCAAGCTTGTTGGTAGTGAGAGAATTAATCAACATTAGCTTACTCTATATCCCAATTATATATATTTATAATCTATAATATATTAAAATAAAAAATCTTTAAAAAATTGTTTTTAAACTAATATGGTCCTCTCTTAATTTCTAAATTACTAGGCATGTCACTATTAATTAATTATAACCAATTAATTATTTTCTCTATCTCTTTAATTAATTAATAATTTATTTCTAATTAAAAATACATTAATAATTTGTTAAAACTAACTTTGACGTGTTTATATTTTATTTTATAAAAAAATAAGACAAATGCTTAATTAATTTAGCCTTAAAGAGGTTGGATATAGAAAGTTGTGTTAACATTCTTAAAATATTTTATCTTTAATTATAATTACTTATATGACTTTTCCTGATTTTTGAGTTTCAAAGTTTTTATAACTTTTCTACTTTTTAAAATCATAAAATATAATTTTCTTCGAGCACCAATAAATTTGAATTACATTCGATGTCTATCAATTCATGTACACTTGATTTTCTTTTTATTATTATTATTATTATTATGAAAATATTCTTTGTTGTAATTATTATTTTTAAATAAACAGTGTGTTTGCAACAAAAATTTTGAGAAAGAAAAATTTGAATTTATTGAACTGGATTTGTATTTATGCATGAGTGTTACAATACCCTAATATATAATCCTATGATGTTTTTCTTGGAAGTAAACTTTGATTCAATAGCTAGTGAGCCTTTTCTTGGATCAAGGAGGTTGATACCTTAAGCTTGTTGAAAAACATGAAGTTTTCCGTTTTGAACTTGTTGAAAATCTTTTGAGATTTTCGACTTAACTTGACGAAGTTTTCGATTTGTAGCTTCATAAAATCTTCAGCTTGTAATTTGATAAAGTCTATTCGACTTGTGGTTTTATGAAGCTCTTTGACTTGCAGTCTAACGAAATTTTTCGACTTGTAGTTTGACGAAGTTCTTCAACTAGTAGCTTAATGAAGAGACAATCTAATTCTTGAAGTTTGGTAGTCTTTAATTTTTTGAGTCTTCAATTTTTCAAGTCTTCAACTCTTGGATGTTTTATTTAGCTCCGAGTGACTGTGAATGATTTTGAATGCTGGTAGTGAATCTTCTACTTGTCTCTGAATTCGGATCTCCCTTAAAATGAGTGGTGACCATGACGTCCTCTATCTATACACTCTAGTGGGTCTTGAGCCAACTCACTACATGGGCTGATCTCTAATGTTATCGGGAGGAAGACATGTGACATGTTTGATTCATCGATTTTAAAACTAATTTAAAAATACGTGTAAGTTTGTAATTGGTCTCTAATATAACTTTATTATTTATTTAAAATATTACGTGGCACCTGATATTCGTTCCGGTTAGCAATGTGTTGGACTTAAAACTAAAATTTAATAAATAAATTATCTCTTGCCATTACATCACCTAAAAAAATAAAAAAATAATAATTAATGAAATAATAATGTAAAAATATGGCGAATCACTTCGTCATTAGCAACGTATATGCGTATGTAATTGTTTCATTTTCTAATACAAATTGAAGGTTTAACTTCCATTAAAATACTTACATAATTGATTATTAAAAAAAAAAAACTCAGTCTAATTCTTTGAGTGTTTGGATATGAAAATTATTCGAGAAATTAGACATCAATGAACTCATTGGAATCTTATTTTTTTAATGTAACATGTTTCAAAATAATTATTTGTTAATTCATCCCTTTTTTCCTCTGTGAGATAGATATTGGAAACTTTTAACCTTCTTTTCAAAGTTTTTTCCTTAAAAAGTAAGATTTAGCACAAATTAATTACATTAAATTTTATTTTAACTAAAAATGTGCTGATTTTAGTTGGTTCACAAACTCGGCGTGGACCAAGCTCTTAGCCTCTCACACATCTCTTGGTCGTAGATATATATACATGAATCATTAATGTACCACGGTGGACATGAATTAAAGTCATATAAACTAGCTAGCTAAAACAAGTATTGAAGTGTATAAATGTGACCTAATTATTGCTAAAAAGAATAAAGATTGTTATTATATCAATTAAGGTCGATTTTATGTCAACTTGAGCAAAGTTCAACTAGTGAAGACATATATTCTCGACCAAAATGTCATGGTTCGAATCTCTATCCTCATGTGTTATTGTACTAAAAAATTAGGATATAATTTCCAAAGAAGTGAGGAGGTTGTCACTAAATTTATGGAAAAAACCAAAGGTAAAACTTCCCTCCGGATCTTCAGTAAAAAGCTCCTCCTGAATTGGTCCAATAACATATAGACAAGTAGACTACATAGAAATTATGAAAAATTAAAAAAAAAAACATTTGTCTATATATTACTGGACCACATAGAATTCAAGAAGAGTTTCCTCCAGGATGTTTTTCCCAGAACCAAAATGATTATTTTTTGACATTTTAAAGATTAAAATAGCCTCTTTTAAAAATTTAAGATTCAAACCAGATTTAAACTTTTTTTCCTTTTTTTCCTTTTCCATGGAGCTGGCCGTGAATGGTTAAATTGTCTCAATTTTATGGAAAATGTCAACTTAGAATATGCTCATAACAAATCATGAAAATTGAAGAAACTCAAAACAAATTAATTAAATTAATAAATATATATTTTTAACATTTTTAAATAAGTCATAAATATTTTTTATTAGTAATTAATATTTACAATAGTGATATTTTCTTCGATATTTTTTTAATAATATTTTATTGACATTTTAAGAGAATTATTCGGGTTATGAGAATATTGATCGATACATCCATAAACATTAGAGCATTTAGCAGCATCATCTTTTTGGAGACGATATGATTTGGCTGCTTTTTTTTTAGAACATGCTTTATTACTACTTTCTTCCACCTTTACCATTTCTAACATTATCACAATTCACAAACAATAATCTATTCTCATATCAATAAAAGGTACAAATTAGTTCCATTTTGTTTTAACCATGAATTGAATCTTACATAAGTGATAAATAACTTAAAAGATATGGGTTTGATAACTAAGTTACGAAAACGGGTAAAAAATGAAAAAGTTATCAAACAGGTTACAATCAAATGGAAAATCATTTTTTCTCGACTTACCGCTATTCTCCCTCGTGATATTTTAATAATAGATTCTATAGGAACTGGACAATACTAGATAGACTATTATAAACAGTATATTTTCATGGGAATATAAAATTTTCTGAAACTTTATTCTTATCTACTTGCTGAAGTGGATGGATTTATTAGCATTAAAAACCCTGTTTATAGATTCAAGCAATTATTTAAGCGGGGAGGGAGGTAAGTGAGGAGAATTGAGGTCAAATCTGTAGTCCCCATCAACATTTCTTAAACTTAGCTTTCTCATTTAACAAAAGAAAAATATAAAGGAGAGAACTTCACTGTGAAGTGGGAAGATTTAAGCAACAGAGAGGCAGAAGCAGAAGCAGAAAAACTGGGGAGGAGAAGGGAAGGTCCCTCCTTTATGAGCAGATTTGAAATTCAAAGGAAAAAGGGGTTTCGAAATATATGAAGAGGAAGAGAGAAGTGGATAAGGAATCTGAAATGATGTCTGCAACTTCAGAACTTTGTAAGTTGGCCAAGTTCAAAGCTGTTGATCAAGCTGCTTCCCACATCCCCACAAAGCCCTTTCTCTCACTCTGTAATTGGATCCTTCAATTTCTTGGTACCTGTTTCTTCTCTGTTTTTTTCTCTGTGGCTGTGTTGAGAACTGTTGAAAGGTAATGTTCCTGTTACATGAGATTGGTTTGGTCCTTTTTTGTTGCAGATAAGGTAGGACCAACAATGACTGTTCTGAGACAAGACATTCATCAGAATATTCAGGTATTATAAATAAACAACACTGAAATGGCATATCTCTCTCTCTTTTTCTCTTTTTCATTCTCATACTGATGATTTTCTGTGTCTATTCTACAAATGGTGGTATAAAATTTAGAGGTTGGAGAGCATGTATGAGTCTGATCCTTCAGTATATTCAAATGTGGTAGAAATTCTGAAGAAAGAGACAAATGAAGGAAATGCAAGGAAGCTCACTAGCTGTAGTAGAGCCTTTCTGTGGCTGACAAGGTAAAAATATGTTATATGTTCATTCATCCAATCCAACAGTTGTGATGTTGTTATATGTTATTTCTCCTTCCTTAACAACTGCTAACTGGTTGTGATTCAAGTTAACTGGTTCCTCAGCTTTTGTTGTGTTGTTTTCTGTTCTGGCTGTTTTTGTTGTTTTCTGTTCAATCATTCTCTGAAGAAGACAAGAAAATATCTATTTGCTTTGTATATCATCTCTCTCTCTCTCGGTGGAGTTGTTGAAATTAGCTTTGATTATATTCTTTTAATGAGTTGATTTATGGTTGGGATACACATAAAGCAACCTAAAGTTGTTTTTGTAATATGAATGAAAACAAGGAGGAAAACAAAGCTAAAGTTAATAAAGAGGCTAATTTGTATATTGTTTTGCGTCTGCCTTCTAGGAGGAGCTGAATAAATTTAATGGCCATTTTAACCTTTGTTTCACCTGTGAATAACAGATAAAAGAGAGTATATATAACACTGATAATGGAGTTTTACTGTGATATAGGACCCTGGATTTTACAGTGGCCTTATTACAGAAGTCAAAAGAAGAACCTAGGCTGAGCATGGAGCAAGCAGTAGAGGATGCTTACAACCTTACTTTAAAGCCATGGCATGGATGGATTTCATCTGCTGCTTTCAAAGTATTTCTACTTGTTCATCAAACTATTTAACTAACCAAATAACCACACAATCAGTTGCCCAATTTTCCAATCCACTTCTGTCAACAGAATTCCTATATCAGTTCCCAATATAATCAAACAAGGATTTAAGTCTTTCATCCAACCAAATAGTTTCAATGGGTTGTATTCATTTGACTCTCTTTGATCTGATAATCATGATACATCTGTATAAACAAAAAGTAGTATGGTTCTTGCAGATAGCTCTGAAACTCGTGCCGGATACTGAAACCTTTGCCAATCTCCTAATGGCCAAAGATGAAAAAAACGACACCCTTGTGGAGGAAATAGACTCCTTCATTTTGATGCTCTCGCCTTTTCTTGAAGATATTCATTCAATTCTGGTAAAACTCTAGTATTACTTTCAGCACTATAGCCCATTCAATCACAGATTACCTAATGGACATGTTCTTATTGTTTCAGAGACTGTACCGGTTAGATCGCTTAAAGTCTGCATAAAGAAAGATGAATGGACAAAAGAAGAACAGATCCTCCAGTTTTGAGTTCCCTTTGTTTCATTTGCATTTTCTTCTATACAGAAAACATGTAAATACACTGCCTAAAGATAGCTATCACAGGAAAGTTTCCCTCTTTTCCATCCAAACTTACTGCAGCTACTGTGTATGCATACATTTCTGATGTAAAAGGTTAGGCTTGTAATGTAACTAGTAGAATTTCTAAGCCTTGTGTCGAGTCTGCAATCTTTTACTGCATATAATATGGTGTGCTATGTTTAGTCAATATCAACAAAGCAAATATCTTTTATCTGAATGATACAGAAAGTTGTTATTGAACACTAGCCAAAAAGTGCTTTTTATCTTCAATCTGCAATCTCTGTTTCCAAGCAACATTGTATCACCAAAAAAAACAGTCTTATGTGCCCCATAAAGGCTTGCTTATGTTATGCTACCAAATTCTGCTTAATTTTCAAACAAGCAGATTCTCCCAAAAGTGCAGTCTGTAATCTTTGTTTCTGAGCAAAATTGTATGTCACAAAACTAACAAACCAGTGTATACAGAATTGAAAACAGACTGCCATCAAAGAAAAATTAGCAGGATATCTCAATATACATAGTTTCATATTCATATTCTATATCTGTTAATCACAGGAAGGATGTCAATTCAAACTTGATAACTAGGGTATCAACAGTCTTTAAAGTATTGATTAAATTTGTTTTATGAGAAGTTTTAATTACATAAAAAGGAGCTAGAAGTCTTATTAGGGTGTGTTTCGGAGTGTCATTGTCAAAATCACTTCCCCGTCTATTAATCATGTTTGACAAATTAGAAAATTGATATCAGAAAACTTAAAATCGCTTTAAATTGATTTTTAAGGTATGAGTTAGAGGGTGATTTTGAAAACTAATTATACTTAAATCTCTTTTTTCAAAATCACTAGTCCTACCATCACTCTCAATTAAACACACCCTTAATATTCCAGGTAACAGATTCCGTGCTTGCTCAACATCGATCACTCATGCTTCATCCTGGGTTCACATTTGTTTGTCAATTGTCATATTACCTCATTAAAAAAGCAGTAACAATTACCTTATACAGATTTGCTTATGTTGTTCTACCAAATTCTGCTCGACATGCGTGGCCTGCGGAAAGTTTCAACAATTCAATATATCAGGAAAAAGCAGATATGAGTTAAAAGTTGCTAACCAAACCAAGGGCAACTGGGATAAATTATGAAAGGAATTAAAATATTAAGAGATGAAGTTGGATCGTAACCTTTAAAATTCCATAGAAGATTCAGTTTTCATCCAGTTGAGCGATGAAAACATGAACTCTGGAGAGGTAGCTTTTCTTCGCTCTTTTATTTCTTTCTTCTCTTTAGATTTATATTATTTAAGTACTTTAAATTACTTAATATATTTAAGCTAAATTTATTAAATACAAAACTACATTAAAATTAATTAGAAGTCAAATTTCAATAATAAAATATTATAATACATAAATTCATTTTTTTTAATTGATACTCACATTTTTTGTTTTTGCAAAGGAACATAAAAAAATTATCTACTAGAATAAATTAATAATAATATCAATTTACTGATTGAAATATTTACTTAATTTATTTTGATTGAGTGTCTCAAAAAAAATCATTTTGATTGATAAAATAAATTAAATTAATGAAGTTAAATATATATTAATACTATTAATTAATTAGATGAAATAAATATAATTAATTTATTGATTGATTGAAAAATATATTTAGTACATTTTTATTGATAAAATGTATTTAAATTTACGTTCTTAAAAAATTTTAATGCATCTCGGAGCGGAGATTCAAATTCATAATAATCTTTGGATGTATATGTTAATGATAAAATCATAATAATCTTTGGATGTATATGTTGAATGATAAAATTTGGTCAATGATTAAATGCCACGTCATCAATCTAAAATTATATTTAAGATCGATCCTAAATTTACATGTATCCTAAATTAATTTTAAAATTGATGAATCAAATTATATCATGTGTCACCCTTAAGATCGTCTCATAAAATCAACTAATTGGATTAAATCCATAAAGAGATTGAACCATACACATAAAAAGATTGGGCCAAAACCTCTGACTCATTAAGCTCATGACCCATAAGACCCATTAAAATTCTATAAATAGAGAGGTTGTCTCTCATTTGTGAAATTCGGGAATATCTAGAAGTATTGGAGATTCAGAGAATTCGGAGTCATTTCCAATCATGGGAAACATCCAGAACCAACAAGACTCTTCAGACTCCATCAAAAAATCGGCCGCCAGAAACTAAAGATTCTTAATTGAAAACTTTAAAGATTATTCAATACGCCGATTGTAGCACTACATAGATTTGATACAAATCAAGTTCATTAATTCGAGGTTTTTCTTTGTTGAATTTCTGGTCCGAACAATACATGTTTTTAATTCTATGTTTAGCTTAGTAAATTAAATTAATTAATGCAATTGAATATTTACTGAAAATATTAATTCATTAATAATATATTTAATTAATTAATTTTTATTGGTTAAGTTAATTTAATATAAGAATTAATTTTTCAATAACTATAATTAATTGTTCAATTAAAATTATTTATTGATTATATAATCGATTAATTTATACTTATTTCTTTGCATTAATTTTGGTTAATTCATTCATGAATGTATCGTAATTAAATAACATTTTTTAGACCAATTCTATTAAAAAAAATTGCATACTAACATTTATTCTCACAATAACATTCTCATGAATAACCAAGTAAAATTATTTTTTATTTTCAAACATCTTATTTTCGATAATTGTTACCTGCAATAGCAACTCAATCTTAAAAAAAAAATAATAAAAATAAAAAATAAAAAACTCAATTTGCAAATATAATAGCCTACATTTACCCTTTTTGGTTCTTCAATACTGATGTTAGAAGATTTGGTTATCTCTGTAGAATTAAATTAATCATATCCCATATGAGTTTCAATAGATTTATGCAAGTATTTATGTTATGAATGAAAATCAAATTTGTTCGGCCAAATGTTATGAAGCCGTAATTACATATTTTACGCACAGCTCCATTTCCTAACTCTCCATTAGGTATGCTTATCATAGCTTTCAATTATAGCTTAAAACCTCAGGAGTCAGGAGAATGAATCACTCTTACCACCAAAAGATTAAATATAGAATCTAATCTCTCATTATCAACTTAAAATTTAAAATTTTGAATTTAGTAGGGATTTAATATGATATCAAATATTATTCCCTTCTCGTGTTGAATTCTAAGACCACAAGTGTGAGGACTGTGATTTAAGAGGTTGAACAAAAAGCTAAGTATATCCTAATTAATCCACTTAACCTTTTGAGTTTAGCAGTGATTTGATACCTACGTCGAAAAGGATAAGACGTGTACAAGGAACAATCTCGGATGTTCAAGATGAAGAAGAAGCAATCAGTTCTGTACTAGAAAGTTCATAAATAAAGATCGATCAGGAGACTGTATTAATGATCTAAATACACCATGGCCTAGATTTTTTCCCTCTTCTACCATCATGCAGAAAACCCATAACAGACCCTTGAAAATGATTTGGATTTTCCAAGTTTTCAACCAATTATTTGGATGATTTAGATGGCCTGGTGATTTGACTTAAGGTTGTTTCTATGTGCAGGCCCCATTAAGTTACCTAAACTTATGAAAATGCAACACCTCAATCAAACAAGACAACGTGCTCAAGCAATTAGATTTGAAGTTTAATCCAATTAAAAAAAAAATGTTACTTTTGTAGTTGAATGGAAGATTAATGATATTAACTTATTCTCGGACCATAAAAAGTGTTTCCAACTCTAAGATTTTGACTTCTTTAGTCAATAAGTAAATGGTCTGTGTGGTGAACAGAACGATTCATCAAGTCATTTCTCGTCTCTTGAAATACTTGTAGAGTGTTATTGTACTGGTTTATCTCCATGGTTAGTTTCTATTGATTTTTGGTACAAAATGGTGATCATAGTTTCAATACTTGAGTTGGAAAGGAAAAGAATAGCTTAAAGTTTTAACAAGAGAATCTGCAAAAAGAAAGAAAAAGATCAAGCTTTAACCCAAGAAACAGATGCTGTTCATACGTTTGCTTCATTATTTCATGATTAAACTTGTAATCTCAGCCAATACAATACTACAGGATTCATAACTTAAAATTCTATGCAGTGTTTGCCAACATAAACATAGTTCAACGGTAATTGGGATATACTCCTTTCTTTAAGATTAGAGGTTCAATTTTCCATATCCCTACGTTACTGTACTCAAGAGGAAGGAAAAAAAAAACTACCCTGTGTTTCTCAACACAGGGCAGCTCGAAGCCGCCTCTTCCGCCGAGCCATCCAAGCCAGGACCTCTCATGAGTTTTCCAAGCAATTCCCCTGCATCAAAAAAGAACTCCACCTTCACAATTTTACCTTCCTCATCCACCTGATTCATCAAAAAGATCTCAGTAATGAAAAGCAAAGAAAGGGGGCAAAATACAAACAAGAACTGATGTTGAATCCCACCTTAAAATTGGCTACTCCATAGAATTCAACTCTCTCCCCCGTGGGGGCATGGCCTTTGAAAGGCCCCTCCATGTAGCCCCAGTGCCTGAACTTGAACACAATGTCAGGGGGCCCTGCATAAACTTGGACAATCTCAAGAGCAAATCCTCGAGGGAACGTCGTCGTGAATGCGCGGTGAGACGATTCCGCCGTCTCATTTGCAGCATTGTAGTACCTGTATTCCTCAGGGAGGGAGGTCTGAAGGAAGGGATTGTAACCCCCAAGTTTTTTAACTTCTTCAATAGTTAAAGCCTCTCTTCCTGAGAAATGTTTGTTCATCATCAACATAATGAAATAACACATCAAGCATTCGGGATTTGGTTGCTTACCATTGAGACAGAAAGTAAACTTGCTTAAATCTATTGTTTTGAAGTCACTGCTTGAAACCTTATGGAACAATTCCATTTCAAAATTCTTCACTAGGCTCTGCACTCTCTCTTCAAGTGACCCAACAGCCCATACCTTCCAAAGTAAGATTTTTTAGTCAAAAATCTTAAAAGGGATTAACCCTTTTGCAATCTAAGTGCAAAAATAATAAATTTGCAACCAGAAATCAAAGAGAGACAGATAAATTACATTAGTCCTCTCTTCTTCAAAGAGCTTGTTGACAACAGCATAATTAGGAGGAACGCCAAATCTCCACTGGGTGTTTTTGATCTCTTCATCTTCATTCAAAAGAGAACGATACTTCTCCATAGTGAAATCTTTGTGTATTAAGAGGGAATCGAGATTTTGGGGGTGGAATTGCATTCTGGGTATGATGGAATTGGAGTCTTATATAGGAGGAAAAGAAAATGAAAGATGGGTATTGGTTTCCAATGGCGGTGTTCTTGAGATCATCACTGACATAATCGGTTGGCCACATTGCAACACTTTGAAGTTTGAACCTCCATTGTTAATTTTAGTTTTGTACTCACCAACCAACCAAAGATTATGATCAACTACCAACAGAGATTAGTGGATATTACGTTTCTATTTCTTTTTTTTTTAATGGATTTGTCTCGATTTCTCGAGAGTAATTGAAGTTGTTATGACTAAGAGAATGATGACAAATAATTAGATGTATGATACTCTTTCAAAGGATTCGAATTTACCATCCATTATCTGATTACTTAAACTAGGCTCGAACTGCTCTAAATACAGTTTGGAAATAATGTTTGGTTCGAAATTTAGAGGGTGGGGTTAAAAAGTTTAGATTTGTATGATGTATTTGGATTGTGCCCAAGAAAAAGTTAATAGAGATTAATAGTCTTATTTATTTAATTTTTTTATTTTGAGTGATTTCAAATGAATTTTGTTGTTAAAATGATTTGAAATCTTACCAGTTGTGTAAAAAGAAAATTCTAATCAAAATGGTCGAATTTTATAGAATTTCTTAGGATTTGGAAGTAAAATACTTTTGTTGTATTTTAATTTCTAATTAATAAATTTATATCAAAAATCTATTAAACTTTTTATTTTTTTCTCTTTTCCAACTAACGTCCAAACAAAGAAATTTAATTATATTCATTTCAAATAATTCTCGTCTCAAACAAGACAAAAAATTTTAAATCATTTTTCGGATTTCGAATCACATAATTTAAAATTACTTCGTGAACATTCTTGACTATACAAAATATGTGCTTTATAAATCTAAAATTCATGTAACTTAAAATTTGTATGGCACATGAAATCAACAAACGTATATCTTGAATAAAAAAATCTCATATACTAAATATTTCATCCTAATTCCCAGGCCATGCATATGAACCAAATACCATCCGAGTCTTTTTTTTTCCTTAAATTTAACCAAAGGGCTCTTTCTTCTTTGAACATATTGATTTGACCCCATAAACGGGACCGCCAAGGCCATTCCATTTCGACAAAAAACCCACTAAAGATTACCCTTTTAAACAACCTTGTTACTACAAAGGCTACGAACTTAGAAATGGAGAGCAAATTGAAGAAATGACCTTAAATTTTCCAAGACATCACCTTAAATTTCCTCCAAGACGATAAGAGGCTAAAAGATCTACTACTTTAATTCCTGTTTCAAAAATAGATATCTGAGTCTTTTTTATTTCCCCTTAAATTTAACCAAAGGGCTTTTTATTATTATTATTATTAGTAAACCAAAGGGTTGTTAGGTACAAGGCACTTTCAAGGAATTAGATTAAATTATCCAACACTATTTTGAATGTAGATTTGTTTACTGGGAAAATTATGACTAACAGAATAGTTCAATATTAAAATGCATTTGACTTTTTCTAATTATATGGCTCTCTTCAATGCATCAATAATCATGTGACGAGTGTATTTGTTAATTTTTCTCCACTTCATGACAATTAATAATAATCACTCTCCCTTGTTTTCCATATTTATCAAAATATTCAATAAAGCATTGTTCTTTAAAGTTTAAACTAATCGTACGACCATATAACGAGTAAAAAAAACCGTAAAGTCACCAATACTCCATTGTTTTAAATATAAGATTCGTACCTACAACCTACTAATCATTTCAGTGTTGCCCAACTTTATATCAATTGCATTTATATAATCCAAAGACGACAGAAAAATAAATCAGAGAACGCGAGAGAGAGAGAGAAGATCGTATTTGTGGTAAGTTTCCTGTTCATAAGTCGATAAAAAATACAGTAAACGTAGAGTTACACATGAGGGACATTTGGCAGCCATTTACATCCCCTCCAAACAATTGTTCAGTGGAAAGAGTGGAGTTTTTTCATTCTTTTTAAGTGATGGCTCAAACCTCAAAGTCACCAGATCATTCCAACAGAAGATAAATCCAAAACCACTGTGGATTCCCCTTCTGTTTCCTTTGTTTGTACCTAATTGGCTAATTTCACGAGTTTTGGTTATGGGTTAGCTCTCTACATGGGGACCAGAACTTTATGCCAGTTAACGTCCCACCATTCACATTTCTAAGCTAAGTATATATCAGCATGGTTAATAATCATGCCAACATTTGAGTTTTCGTGATTTACATTCCTAATACACAGATGCCATGTTATCAGCCGGTTCTAATACGAGAAGCTGCGGCTTTAGATTGGGAATGCTGTCTCTTACCGTTGGATATTCCACTGTCACTTAAGCTGCCTTGAGTAAGATTTTCTTCGAGTTCAGGAAAATCTCTTGACCAGGAATTCAAAGGAACCAGATGACTGTCATCCTTGGCACTCTTCCGCCGCTCTTCGTGCCGTTTAACATTTTCAGAAATCCGATGGATTGTTTTGTTAAGTTTTGCAATCCCCCTCTCCACTGGTTCTACCACGTGTGTGACTGTATACCTCATGTCATCAACAATCTGATGGGGGAACGAATCACGGACTTGTCAGTTCTCAATACCCAGAAATAAATTAGAAGAGGATTGAAAGAATAAGGGGTCTTACAATTTCACCACTTCCAATAACAACATCTCGAACACTCTGGGGAAAATTCAAACGCTTCTCTCTCTCGTCATGGCGACCAAAGTTTTGACCCAAGCGTATTTTAGTTCTCCGTTCGCAGTCTCTAACTTCCTCTGGATCAGGTGGTGCTCCTAGCGATGCATAGTCAGTCAGCACAGCAACATTGCGAACACATCTTTCTCCACGTTTATAAGGTACTGCTGGGAAAGCATAAAGATGTGCAACAGCGGCAATTCCCATCTGAATGAGATGCAATAATTTTAATTTATAACCCTTGCGAGGATCCGCAAATGAAATTCAAACTTACAAAAGGATGGCAGAGAACAAAAAAAAAGTTTTCACAATATAATACAATGAGAGATTTGACACTCTTAACAATCAAACTCGTTTAATTTCAGACCACATGGGGAGTGTCAGCCATCTGGCCATAAGGAATAACAACCAAGAAAAAATTCCATGTCACAGTTGCAAAGAATAATTTGACCAAACTTGAAGTACTCATCCTGCCGTCCCTTGTAATTGCCTTGTAAAAGTCTTATTGTTTGATATCTTTCAAAAAGCTCCCCCATACATATAATGGTAATGATCCAGATGGTCAAAACATGGGGCTGTTATGCATATATTAAGCAGGCATTCAAACGTGTTTTTACAGAATTTGTCCTAAAAAACAGAGAGCTATTATTTTTTAAAAAAAAAAGTTCTCAAACAACCCTTAAAAAGGTTACCATCTTCCCCTTGAAAACAGAGATGGTTCACACTTCTGCAATAGAACCAACTTACCGAAGCCACCTCAATCTACACAATTGTACCAACAGAAAATAACATCCAAACATCCCAATCAATTTTTAGCCAATGCCCATACAACACTTGGACATAAGTTTTAACTTTGATGACATCTCAACCATCCCAAGAACAGATTGCAAAGTTTGAACTAATCAATCATCTCAATGAAAAGAGATGCCTATAAGCACTTCTATCTCAATGGTGCAGACGTATCCAACTTTAAGGATGGCTTTCAGAAGTGCTATCTGGTGGTGGTTTATAGAAAAAAGCCAAAATGTTGTGGTCTAACGCTTCCAAAGCTATTATGTGGCTAAGTCTAATTCCTTTTATTATTTTTGTGACCTTGAATGGTTCGCGGCTAATTGGAGTGCTCAACACAAGCACTTTTGGAACTTGCCCATCAATTTAGATTGGTGAGCCGTAACCCCTCATTTTCTTGGAAAGAGAGGTCTTGTCCCTTTTATCCCTTGGGCTGTTTCGGCCTAGTTGGTGCCTTTTTGAATGAAAGGTTTGGCGTTTTGGCTTGTAAAAAAGTTCTAGGCACTACTGTAAGATAAATCATAAATGAATCAAAAGGTAAAGAAATGTAGTCTCAGCTTACCTCAATACATATTAGGTAATCTTGTATACGTGTCTTCAGCTCCAGAGCCAAGGACCCTTTAAAAGCTCCTATTGAGAAAAGAAAGGCAACGGCAACACCTTGCCACCAAGTGAGGAAAACGATTGACTTGAAAACAAGAAACTTTGCCAATGGTTTAATTGGTTCCAGTTTGTCCTTCGTGACGGAATAGAATTGGAGAAGGCAATATAGGGCCCACGATTGACTAAAATTAAGTACAACCGCCAAGTAGGGATAACTGTAAGAATATAAGAAAGACAGGTCAAAATAAAATAACAAAGACCAGCAAAAGTATGTTAGAACTTAAAAGCTCTAACACCTAAACCCTGCAGAGAGGTTTGACTACTTTTGTCAATATTATAGACAACCAACGTCATAGGGTACCTGTGATGTTAAAAATTCTAAAAGATCCACACAAATAAATTTCGACACATACCCATATCTCCCGTCAAACTTTCCTTCTCCATAAACCCCGAAACTTTCCAAAATCATAGCTAGGAGCGCACATATCATCTTCAATATCATCTGAGACGTTAAGCAAGAACCAAAATCATGAAATGAATTTGACAAAATAATACTTACTTCAAAAGAAAGAAAGAGCAAAAAGATGATCACATACATATTGAACAATACCAATTTTCACCGCATGATAGAAGTCAGAGCCAAGATACCAATCCCTTATGAAGCAATTTAAGGGAAAAGGATGTTCTACAACCCCATATGCATATTTTTCCTTCAAAAGAGGTGTGCTAGAGTCAACAACAGTCTCACTTTCCATGAATTCAACTGTTCGTTTCTCACCACCTTTCAACCATATAAAAATTGTTAAATTTTCACCATAATTTGAGGGCATTAAACGAAGCTTGTAAGATGAATTAATCACTCATCAAAACATTTTAGCATCTCATAAAACATGCATACAACTAACACATGCAACAAAGAAGAGGGTGCTCAGCAGAATCCCCCCCCCCCAGGAGGTGGGTGAGAACGTCAACTTCCAATTGAGGAATATCACGGACTGCTATTTCTGCTGATTTACAAACTTGGACATATAACAAGCAGGGAAAGAGAGAAGGAAATATTAACATTTTTATCTTCATTAAATTATAATCATCCTTTTTATTCTGAGAGGAAGATGGAGTTGACTTCAAAGCAATATAATTAACAGAGGAAAAGTCATAGCTACAAAAATGTTTGGACAACCTGCACCAAGACAACAAAAAAACCAATATACTCCTACAAACATCACTGCAATAATACTAATAACGTACCCAAGCAAGCAATCAGGTATCTTTCAAAGCAATATAATGCAAAAGCCTCATAGCAGTCCCGTATCACTTCACAGTTGAAGGCGCCATCTGAATTTAACAACGACAGGAACTGAAGCCAAAAAATTAAATAAATAAATAAATTAGCGGCACAAAATGTAGAAATACGCCAAATACAAATTAAATGCATTCAGAAACTTTTCTCATATCCACATAAGACAGAACCTCTTTTTAAAAATAATAAGAAACGAACTTCGTCAGATAAATGAAATTACAAAAGAAAAACACACTGAATTGGCACAAAGAGAGCTCTAATGAAATTCAACCACAAAATCATCTTGTCTCTTCCAAAAGAATGCCATGAAAGATATCCATAGGGAGTCTGTTCGTGTTTTAAGGGAAGACTGGAAACTAAGTCCCAAAACTGTGTAGTAAACTGGCAAGAACGATGACGTTGAGATTCAAAATCCTTTTTGCACATGAAGCAACTGCTGTGGGAGACCAATTAGAATGCCTTCCTTGGATTTTGTCTTGTGTTTAACATCTTTAAGTCTGGGTTAGATTATTAAAGATTGGGTGGTGGGTTGGTTCGGTTGGTGTCTTTGTAAGAGTTGTTTAATTTTCAGTTTTGCTCATTGTTGTGTTTAATATCTTAAGCTCTAAGTTAGATTATTAAAGTTTGGGTTTTTGTTAGGTTGGCTTTTTTTTTTTTGGGTAAGAGTTGCTTAATTTTCAGTTGCCCATTGGGTTCTTTAAAGTATACTCCAGGACAAAATGACATTTATCTTCAAATTTGAACCTGAAAAAATATATCTCTTGGGACACACAAGAATGGGTCACTTAATAACGCCACCACAAGGAAAGCATGTTACTTAAAATAAACAAACCTGCAGAATTTTTTAAGCCCTATTTTAACTAGGAATGGGACTTTGTCAAAAAAAAAAAAAAAATAGGAATGGGACGCTATGTGTTCAAGACACCATAAATAAAGATTCCCAACCATATACGAGCAACTAAAATAAAATAAAAAAGAATGAATAATGAAAAGAATAGGGAAAGTAGTATTTCTCTCACCGATTCTAGAGAGTAAACAGGAACCATCAATATAATACCAATCAGAAACTTCTGTTCCTGAAATAAGGGAAGATACCCTGTCAATCTACATGGTGTCAATAGAAATAAAGAAGTGTGGTAGTATAATCTCCCAAAATAAGCAAAAGTGGGAAAATGCACAAGTTGACATACAGCCCACACTAAGAAATCAACAGAGTAAAACTCCAACTACTAACTAGCTTCACTCTACACACTTGATATTTTGTTAGACATCTATGTAACCACAGTTAACATTTTTCGTGTGAGAGTAATCATAGATAATCATCTAAACTAATACCAGATACATAATTAGACATCAAAACAAAATCCACCAAGGCTAACACGATGCTTTAACAATAAGTATGATTGGACATAGGCATCTCTTCCCATCCAAGCAGCAAAGTAGAAGAGTTCAAATAAGTAACAAAAGCTTCAAGAAAGATAATATAACTAGTCCTTTGAGTTCCAATCAAGTGAAGGAATGCAACAAACCTCTGGTTGATTATAATAAGCTAAATGCTCAATGATGAGATACACGGAAAGAACAACTGCGACAAGGACAAATACACCAGCACTGAGTATTGTCCAGCTGAAGTCAGATGTTGCTTCGGAACTCTGGTTTAGTAACCACATTTTCCCTGATCTACTGGAGGATTCAACCACATTGAGGAGAATAAACAGAGAGTAGAAGAACATCCTCCATCCCATCAAGCAAAACTCTTGAAAAAATCTGGTTAAATGGTAATATGCTCGATCAAAACCAACTAATAAATCAACCTTGCAATGTCTCATTCTTCTATAAAGCCCTTGCGGGGTAAAAAAAATACAGATTCGCGTGGAACAAATTATCTTGAGAGTTTAGCACGTCTATGAAAAAAAGATATTGAACTTCTAACTTCTAAGAATGAAGATACAGAAGTCTAAGGATTGAAGAACCCCACAAAACAATATACTCGAGACCTATTAAGTCAAAATGTTCTGAATAAACATCAGGAATGAGCAGCCATTGAGGCCTCATACTTAAGAGAACGAAAAAGACGCCTAGGATGAGAAGAGAAAAAAAAACAGTGGAGAGGAAACTAATATAAATTTGTTAGACTCACAGGCTACACTGACACATGTTTTGAAGTAATATCAACTCCCAAAATGCATATATTTAATCAGTATAGAGTTCTTCCGATCACTATTTCCCCTCCACTTCTAAACCAGTATGGTCCTCCTCACCTATAAGGAATGCAGTGGTTGGGCAGACTTAGAAGATTCCCGAGGAAAGTAAATTAATATGTTCAGTTCATAATATGATCAAGGTAATCGATCACTTAAGACAGTCGTTAGTGAACAGCAAATGCAATCGTCCCTCACAGATTAGCATGCATATGACATTTTTAGTAACAATCAGAAGTGATACAAACCTCTGTGAGAAAAAGCGCGTTTCGACATTGCATATGACCATCAAGTCAATAAAGAGATGAATTCCTCAACAAGATTACACGAAAGCTAGCAATCTTATACAGCATGAACTCCACAAGTTCAAACATGACAAAAGAAGAATCCAATTACTGCTAGTGCCAACTAATGGAACAATCCACCTCAGAGACAAAGATGCTTCAAGTTACACTTCACAAGAACTGAAACTTAAAGGATAATTGCCTGCCCGCGCACACAGGATAATCACATCCAAATTTCAAAAGTCTACACAGGTGTTAAACCCTAAAACTCCAATCACACAGCAAATAACAACCATAAACACCAAAACTAAATCGAATAGAGGAGAGAAATACAAGGAAACAAAGTACAACAAACATTATACAGAAAAAGAAGAAGATAAAGAGATAGATTATCCATTGGAACCTGCAGAGGAGATTTCAATCGGCGGAGGAAATATCAGCTGATGGTACCAGAGTACGACGAAGCGATAAGGAAATCGGAAATTGCTTCGGCAGTCGGAAACGTGTTCCACGAAGTAAAATGAAATGAAATGAACCGACTAAAGCGACGGAGTCGGTGAGAAATCGATGAGCACAGTAGCGTTTTCAGCCGTTGATTGACGGCTACCCCCGGGTCCCACAGGAGATGAGGAGGGCGCCGAGGGGCTGTCTGTCACCTGCGGTGAGGGTGGGAAAACGTTGCCTTGCCGTTCTTGTCAACCTTCGACTCCGAGGCTTAGAGTTTGACGGCCTCTTCGCTTTATTTGCAACGGCGTTACGAGGCAAGCCGCCAACGTGTGACGTGGCTGCATGGAATTATTTGTAATTCCACGTCATCATTGAGTAAGACAAAGTAGGATCGGAGTTGTCACCTACCTACGGACGTGGGGTCCAAAAGGAAATTATTTATAAATTTTGACAGACCAACCTCCTTTAATTAATGGTTTTAAACTTTTAACTAACAAAAATCATGTATTTTATTTTTCTCTATAACAGGATTTTGTTCAAAAAAAAGGAATAATAATAATAATATGGTTCAATTTTATAAATTTCAAGAATATTCTATTTTATTCTAAATATTTAAAAATATGACTTATTACATATACTTTCAAAGCTAAAGACTAAAATAGTTTTCTTAACGTCTATCATAAAATCAAAATTTTAAAAATTTACGAATTAAAATAGATATTTTGGTTAATTTAAACTTTAATAATAATAACTTTCTTGTACTTTAATTTATTTAAGTTCAAAATTCTTCTTTTTTATTTGGAATATTATTTTAAAAAACCATTCTCATAACTAAAAAACACTTATTATCCATTCGGTTAATTCGATATTTATTGTCAACCAAAAAAAAAATCATAATTCCACTAATATAATATATACTTAGGCTTTTATTTAAGTTAATTTATTTATTAATTTAATAATATAAATTTTGGAAAAAGTTCAATAAACACAAAAGAAAACTCTCCTCGTTCTACCGCTCCAAATCTCCAGAAATAGAAACAACTTCTAAACGTGTCCATCTCTTGTTCAAGCAAAGACACCTAACAACTAACATGCTGAAAGAAATTTTATTTCCATTACAACAAGAGTTCTTCAGTTCCAACAAAGAACAGGAGAAAAAGAAGTGGCAATGGAGAAAACCAGAGAAATAATACAACTCGGATTATGAGTAACAAAAATGTATTAGCTAACATTCCATAATCTACATGTCTAAATGCTAAACATATCAATTATTTTTACCAACTGGTCTGGGGTGTGGTGTGGAAGAGTACATTGGCTTTTCTTATACTGCAAAACTCTTAAGGAGAAGTAGTACTACATCTGGCATGAGTTTCAGTTTCATGTTTCCAAATATACAAAAAGAATGACAGCTTTATCTATATGTATGCGACAGATGGGACATTTGAGCTACAAACTTAACTGACTTGCTACCACTTGTGCAGATTGGTAACAAATAACGACATCGATGAGACTGAGGCCAGGCGGCTCTCGGGGTTCTATTAGCAAACTACGTTCCTGTAACCCGCTCTTCCTTCTATTCTCTGCAAATCATGTGGTGGCTGGCTGCAACCAAATGGAAATCTCCCATAAAGGAAAGTTGTTACTTTGCAGGGTGGCTGTTGAGCTTCATTCATATCACAGTTGCGGTCGAACGAGATATCCGCTGAGCTTCTTCCAAGTCCTTCAAAAACCTGCAACCAAATGGGGAAATCATGACAATAACGACTTGCTCAAAGTGTTTGCAAAGGGATTATATAGTAGGTTTCCAATATGGAAACTAATAAAACTTGTGTGATGGGAGATTTCTTCTGCCTTGTCCTTGTTCCTTTTTTCGAGTGGTTGGAGATTTGTGACTTGGGAGTTACTACTTGTAGGAATTTCCACTAATTACCTCTTGCAATCACCTCATCTAACTTATCAGATAGGAACAATTATTAAATTATATCAATAAGATTTATAACCATGAGTAGACATAAATCTAGTCATGTAGACACAGAAACAGAGTGTGACAATATCCCTTGGTAAAAAATAAATAAAATAAAATATTAACACGTTTCCCATCTTGAATTCATTTAGGAAATTGCCAATATCATGAAATCAAATAACCAATATTGCTTACCTCTTAGAATTTAGAACCACAGAACCACCCAGTATAAAACGTGTGCCAGAAGTAGCTGCGTTTTGTAAAGCAACAGCACGCGACTCCTCATATGTTGTCCCACCTACAATAAAAATGATAACTTCTTGTGGCCTGCTTCATAACGGAGTAGCCAAGTTAAATTCATAAATTTTAACTCAAGTTTCTTTCTAAAAAATAAAACATACTATTGTTTTTAAATTTAAAATATATATATATACACAAAAGAAAACCACTAAAATGGTCGATTTCAAAAGCGGCATATCTTTTTTGGTGAAAGAAACAATTTCAAAAGCAGCATATCAAATTTTCTTGTAAAGAATACTTTAAGATTGTATGCAAATATGCCTTTTTGAATATTCGCCTCATAAAAAATCATTGTTCATAACAAGTTACTATATGCTATAGGCATCAGAACCATCAATATTCAAACATAACAACAAAATGAAAGATCAATACAATTTGACAAATAACAAATGCAACAAATGAAACGTCCATAGTCCCAATATCTTTGAAGCTAAAATAAAATCACAATTTTAGAGGCTTTTTACTTCTTAATAGCAGTGGTTCCACATATGAAAAAAGGAGACACTGAGACACACACTAGCAACAAACCTTCCTTGCTGAAAGTGATTCCCCACAAACGGGTAGTCTACATCTCTCAATCTTCCCTTAGTTATACTTTCCATGGTTTGGACCACAAGAGGTTGATGCTGAGTGTACACATTCTCAACCCCCTGGAGCAGAAGTAAAGAGAGAACAATATATAAGCACCCTAAACTCCAAACTAGAAGAAAATTTGAATTTCTTTTATATAAGTTTCCAGCATACCTTTAATCCACGGGCCATGTTACGAGCAATATTCAAAAGATCTCGATTCCCATAAAGATCGCCTGTTCGCTTATCAATACCAGCTTGTTTTAAAAGAAACTGAACAAGCTGCCATATCATGTTGTTGAGCACATCAAGATAATTGAAGTCTAAACCACTAAATATAACATAGAAGTTTGAACTACATTGCTATAACAGTCTGCCAAAGAACGACTAGTCCCTAACCAAAAAAAACGATGAAGAAACAAATCTTTTCAAATCCTAGGAGAAAGATGGATATCATGGATGCAGAGTCTATGAATAATACCCATAAAATAGTTTTTTTTCTCTTTTTGTTAAATGGGAGTCTGGGCTTTGCTCCCTTGCACCTAGGGGCACCCACACCCGCCCCAAGACCCGGACCTCGGAGACATCAAGAATTTTTGGTATTAAAGTTCACCGAAAGATTCGAACTAAAGAACCCTAGACTAGTATGACTAAGAGACCCCAAGCTCTAGCCGATCAGGCTACCCCTTAGGGCCGATAAAATAGTCAAAAGCTTTAAATAGAGAAGTAGAAGTTTGAAAAATTAATAAAAATGATGTTTAAATGTTTTTTTATATGAGAAACCGCGCTTTCATGGAGAAAAATGAAAATAAGAACAAGAAGGGCACACAAAAAAATAGCCTTGCAAGAAGACGCCCATTAAAGAAAAAGACTAATCCAAAAGAATTAACACCTAGCTGAAAATGATGCTTTGCTCCCCTATACCCAGGGGCACCCACACCCGCCCCAAGGCCCGGACCTAGGAGACATCAAGGATTTTTTATGTTAAGCTCACTGAAAGGTTCGAACTTGAGACCTCTAGGCTAGTATGACTAAGAGACCTCAAACCCTTGTCAATCAGTTACCCCTTGAGGCCCATAAAATAGTTTAACATGCTCAAAAACTTACACTTCCATTGAGAAAAATGAAAAGAAGAACAAGAAGGGCACACACAGAAGCAGCCCTTCAAGAGGACACTCATTAAAGAAAAAGACTCTCATCCAAAAGAATTAACACCTAGCTAAAAATGATGCTTAAATGTACACATTACCCCTGTTTTATATTTGGCAGAACAAGAAGCCAATTTATTGAAAAGCTGCATCAGTTGGACGGGGCTCTCCTTCTCATATCGTAAGGCATACAACATTACTAGGCGCAGACGGTCTATATCAGAAATACTCTCATCGTTTAAAAGATTTGTAACAGCCTGAAAAATACAAGAGCAGAGGTGGTCATGCTGAAAGTAACAACTAAATCTTATCAATTAACGTTCTCATAGTTATCAATAGTTCCAAGCTAATGTTGGATGGTCAAAATTTTTATAGATAACTCGTGGGCACATAAGAAGCAGAAGTGCTGGCAGAGATGTTAGAACTATGAAATCAAGAACCAGAAACATCTAACATTTAATAAATTTTGTTTTAATCATCATAACTACATCAAAACTTTATGTAGTCTATTCTTGTAATATAGACAAAAAAATAAATAAATCAATTCAGTGCGGTCTTTTAACTCTCTTATCCTTCCCTCTTAGTCTTAGCATAATAGCAGAACCAGATTACAGTCCTCAGCATCGTGCTAAGAAAACCACTAAATGGATGTTCAAGAAAAAATGAAGATGGGATAATTTCAAGATTTTAAATGTAGTCATATAAGAAAAAGAAAATATTGCATGTTCACAAAGGACACGGGGTGAAGAAAATATTATAACCTCAAAAGCAGCCACTTGCCCACCATTGCAAGCCAATTCCTGTTCTGTCTGTGAAACTATCATAAGCTTTCGCTCCTCAACTATTTTACTCATTTCTGTTACCAACGTCACATGTTTTGAAACATTACCATGCATTTTTCTGTACTCTGGATAATTATCAACAAATTTGGCCATGTCTTCTGCAGAAAACAAAGCATTAAAGATAATTTGGTCACTTAATTTAATCCCCATCGTTTATCCCCCACCAATAAAGATAATTTCACTATATTTCATACAAACCTATTGTCTGTATGTTCTGGTTACTTTTGGCAATTTGCTGGAAATCATCCACCAACTTCTTGATATTCATCCCAATATCTCCAAAATTATCATACATGTTAGCTTTATAAAACGAATCTTGCTCTGACGATAGCACGACCTCCTGTATGATCCCAAAGAGCCTTTTGAATTAAGTTTGCATATCTAATTGAAAATATATACTAGAGCAGAGTGGAAGTGTGAACTTTATACCTGTTGATCCTTTGAAAACTTCCCAATGCTTTTCAAGTCCACTTTGTTGTCTTGAATACCTAGCAATTCATGAACCATTGCCTAGAAAACATAACTATAAATAACCAACAGGAACACATAGTAACCACAAAGCAAAAAGTAAATTTTGTGATCCCAATACCTGATAGGTCCATTGATTCAGCAGGGGAGTCAAAGGGTCATCCCTCCTATCAATTACCAGCAACAGAGGGGAAACTTCCATTCTTCGAAAATCAAACAAACCACTTTCTTGCTGATACATAAGTTTCTGGTACATCAGAAAGGATAAAAATTAGAGATTATGACCCTTAACTTGTTATAATAAAGCCTAAGATGAACGAATCTAAAGTCATGACACCAGTTCTGGAGTTGAATGTAAAAGAGTTAACTGACCATTTAAAGTGACAAACTACAACTGGTAATTATAAGAATTTACATACTGATGCTTCTTGTGCTATCCTCTTGGCAACATCAGAAGTCCTCTGAAATCGAATAACAGGTCTTTGTTTTAAGGCCAAAAAAAGTGCTGCAATGCCATCTACAGTTCGGTCACAGAAATGTTGCAAACTTGGAGGATCCACAACTGCTGGGATCATGTATACATGGTTTGATGACATATTTAAGGTGAAATGATAAGGATCAATGGCAACAAAGTCCCCGTAAAACTCCTGCATGATCCATTCAACAATTATTTGCGATATAAAAATTCATGCTAACATGTGGATACAATCCATCTTACAGACTATATCAGATGATGAACAGAATGAGAAGAGAACGGAGTTTAACTCTAAGGCTAATGAACAGGATCAATGGCGCATAAAATAAGTTTTATACCATTGATCAACTTGCCACATATTTTGACATAGTATAGAAAAGGGGAAGGACCATGATTCCAGGATGCTATTCAACTAATGAACTCAATGTATCATCAAGCGGGAAACAGCCCGAATCACCGGCCCCTAAATGACCGCAGTGATAAAGGAGGTAGAGACAGCCAGAATGGTTCTTCCCTGACTGACTTAATTAACATATAAGATTTCTTTATAACATTAATTTTGAGAGAATCACCGAGAAATTTATTTATTTGAAGAAAAAAAGGATAAAAATGTTCTCTATGATTTCTGTAGAAGAAAAATTACCACAACTTGCTGAACAACATCCTGCTCATCTGAATCAGCTAGTAAATGTATCTGAGTTTCCTTCAAAATGTTGGAGAAAACTGTAATTCAGATATACAGAAGAATGATCAACGTATCAATAGCAGATTATTATGAAGTCCCAAAGTTACTTACACAAGTCAAAAATCCATGAAAGATATGAAGAACTCACAGAGGTGATACTCCCCAAATCTAGGATTAGCCAGCTGGCGACGCAGAAGCTGTATATTCTCTGGTGTGGGCCTGAGAAAGCAAACTGCTTTAAGATGATACATGGATTCTCTGGACTTAGAAATGGTATCAACCAATTCGACCAAAAATACTTCTTTTTGAAGAAGTTCCGACTGTGAGTACACCACACTAACAACACTAACCTGAAACCAAAATAGCAACAATAAAAATTGATCATTATGATGTAAATGTTGCATTGTCAACATGAACACCCATTACTCCCTTCCCCAATCTATATCATAGAGGAGGTCGCAATATTGCAAGATATGTTACCATGTCGCCCATTTTACATTATATGACGACATATTTATTCAACCACCATACTAAACATTATACATCAGGACTCAGGAAAGGCGAAGTTTGGCATAAAGGAACTTATGCATTGCCTATCTATAAACCCTGCAGCTCACAGATAATGCCACTGTAACTCTTTTCTGTCAATGGCAAATACCTTTTTCCATCAGAACTAAGAATCAATATTCCATTAAAAAAAAAAAAATTTATATATCCGTGTTTGAGCCTCACAACATCTCGACTAATCCACTTAACCTACCATATTTGGTTTCCAATGAAATAAAAAAATTTTAAATCCTAAATAGGTGGTAACCATTATTTTAACATATTCTAATAGCTCATTTCAATTCACATTACTTGATCATAACCGATAACCTGAACTATGAATGATATAAGAATTGAACATATCTTTCTTTTGGATCACATTGCCCCTCCAGCTCCACAATCGTATACACAAATTGTACGAGGTAATTCAGCAGAGTATGCTCTGTAATGTAGCTAAAAAAATTCTATAATACACGTTATCCACTTCTTTTTTGCCTACAACAGTATCCAAGAAATAGAAATCAAATTGCCCTCCTCCCCACCCCCACCGGAACAAAAATTTCCCAACTTCTTTTTATTTCTCCTCGATACCAGTCAGAAAGAAAAATTGAAGGGGTGAAATGGATATGACGGTGCGTACCGTCTGAGAATCGAGGATGAGAACCTTCATGCCGGAGATGTCCTGCAACATCTTGTTAACATAATCCCGAACGACCGATATCAGCACCATTTTTACCGTGCAGTCCTTGAAATCGACTGTCCTGATTGATCCCGACGCCAAAGTTGGTGAATCTGGTGGTGAGAGAGTAGAATTGCAAACGCAGAGAGAGGGGGGACTCAGATCTGCGACGACCGACGATGGAAGAAAGCGAATTCGACGGTCAGTGGGGAAGTTGCCGATTAGTCACGATGATCGTCGAGACGCACCGTTTCATTCACTCTTCCGCTCTGTTTGAAAAGTAATAACCTTCTTCCGTTTGTTTCTTCTTTTTTTTTTTCTTTTTTCCTTTTTACAAATTTAATCTTTAATTTTGATATTTGTATCAGGTTAAATTAAAATTACTCCTTTCGATGGTGTGATTTATACCCTTTTTTTTTTTCTTTTTGTATTCAGAAGGGAGGAGATTCAACCAGCACCCGCGGTGGATCCAAAAATTTTGTAAGAAATTTGTATGTAGTATATTTTATAATATAGTATTCATTTTTATAATTTAATAATACATATACACACACAGGTATCTTTAAAGGCTAGAAAATTTTTAACAAAAATAATGCAAAACCCCATAGGCTCGAACACTGGCAACTGAGATGGACTTAGAACCATTAGTTTGTAATAATTCTAAAGCTTCAAAGAGCCTCATCGGCCTATCTACCGCCCTGCCACCCAGCTTCTTCTTCATAATAGTAATGGTTATTTTATCTATTGATATTTGAATTGGCATAAGTCCATGTAATTTTATAAGTTTTAACTTCGATAATAGGTTCGTGAGACTCAAACCTCTAACTTTTCAAAATATTACTTCCTACCTTAATCACTCCATTTAGATTGTACTTTAAAATATTTGTTTTATTAAAAGCTTTAGAAGATTACCATTTATGCATTACATTAAAAAAACGTGATTAGATATAGTCTCAAATTATTAATTATGACATATTTTTCGCACACAACTGTTTATTTAATTTAGCATGATGTATAAACATAAATAACTAAACAAATTAAAATGGCACGTTAAATTTGATATGGTTTGTTAACATGAGTAGCTCAATTGATTAAAGCATCAATCTCCAACTAAAATGTTGTAAGTTCGAAACCTCACCTCATTCGTTGTATTAAAAGGAAAAAAAAAACTAAACAAAATGTAATGGAAAAGTGTGTAATGCAAGTGATGTATTTCAATCTTTATCGTTCATATCAATTACTTCTCATTTGGATGATCAATTTAAACTGGGTATACGAACTTTTTCATTATTGAAGTTCTTTCATATTCGTATTAACTTTATTTGAAAGTACTATTAGTTCAATTCAATGTAGAATGTATATCTCCAAAATTCTATGTCATAGTTCAAGTCCTACCTAACACTATTCTCCTCTTGTTAGATATAATTACGATGACGATATAATACTTGATACACTATACTAATTTGAATATACCTCAAATATTTGAAATATTTATAACAAATCAATGTTTAAATACTTTAGTTCTATTATCTTTTTTTTTTGTTAAGTGCAACATGTGGGGGTGGGGGACTGAATTCACAATTTTTTTGTTGGAGATGTATGTCAAATATTAATGAGCTATGCTCGCTATGGCAAATGATGATGCTATGAGATCGAGTCGGTTTCCTCAAATCCTTTTGATTGTGGCAGCAGCGAAGTCCGAAAATTGATGTGTATTTGAATCTCCAACCTCAAAGGAAAGAATAATATGTCTAAACCATTGAACTACATTCGTGCTTACACTTTCATAAATATCTTAAATATAAGATAATTGTCAATCCAACAATAATTTGGTAAAAAAATATATCTATTACCATTCCGAAAATCAATGGTTAAATTTCTTATCCCTATTAAATATATGAAGCAGTTGTGCATAATAATTTAGTTCAAAATAATATTAAATATAACATGAGTTAAAAATATAGAAATATGATACAATTTTCTACATGTTTGTCATAACTAATAACCTAACCTATATTACTTATATAGATGTCTATCCTAAAAAATTATCATATTTACCAACTCTTATTGTGAGGACATTTTGTTCCTATTACAATTCCCATTATATACCAAACCAACCACCAACGCGGCAAGGCTGTTACTTTTATTTTTATTATTATTTTTTAATTTATGGTATTATGTGGGGGCAGTTATTAACCTTTCAACTACATCATTCGTCCAATTTCCGGCCACCTTTATAATGCCACCGACCAAGTAAAGACATTAATGTACTAAAAAAAAAGAGTAAAGACATTAATGAAACCTTAAAAATAATCTGAAGTTGAAATCAAAATTAAGAGTAATTACCGAGACTAAAATGCAACTTGTTTAGTCACCGTAGTTTACTTCAATTTTAGGTTATTTTGATTATTTTGATGACAATACTTTTAAAATATCTATTTTAGTTGTTTTATTTTTAATTTTGAGATATTTCAATTATTTTATTTTTAATTTTTGTCCAATTTAATATTTATACTATGAAAAAACTGTCATATTCATTTTTGTATTTTTGTACTTTTAAAAAGTGGTAATTTTAATTTATGTTTGAAAATTTTTAACACAAATTTTAAATATAGTAGAAATATTTTAACATAATCTTATGACTATATTTTAAAAAATTTATTGAACATGGTGTGTCATGATAAAATTAACATTGAAAAAGTGAGATAAGAAATAAATAGATTAAAACAGGCACGGGATGAAATTGAATCCTTCGAAAATTTTAAACAAGAGAGGTTTTAGAAGTGTAGAACTAAATTGAACAAAATGTAAAATTACAGTTAACAAAATAGCATTTAAAATCTATTATTAATTATAAAATTTCCATGAGCACCCCACGTACATTTAAAAAGTTAAAAAAATTGCAAACGGACAGTTGGCTCGCCTTTTATCTACCTCCTACATCTCCCAATTTTCCATTTTGACTGGGCTCAAACTTCAAATTCACCGCCATAGATTTGTTCTTCTTTAACTTTGTGTTGCTCTCTCTGCAACTCGCCACCGTCAACCCACGAACACTGGATCGAATGGGCGTGTTTCTGTTTCTTTCTTCGGGCGTTGAACTTAAACCCCCTTCTTTGAGGTGGGTTTAATTGCTTTTGTTCCATTCTTCTCCACAATACAATTTTTCTGCCCGTTGGATTTCTGGGTTTTGTTCTCCGAGTTCCTGGGATCAGGAGCTGAGTTCCTGATGCGGCAGCGGAGAATCCGTTGAAGATGAGAGGACATCCCCTGAGCCCCACGGAACCTAGACATCGCTTGTCTTTTTCTTCCAAGTGAGTATCTCTCGCCGGCTGCAAAATCCTCATGTATTGTTGTCTTGATTATGCTACTTTACTTTCAATTTCTCGATGGGCGATTCAATCTGCTTGCTGTTCCGTTTAAACTTCTCGATGTTAGCTTCTAATAGTTGTGCTCTGCTCGTACGGGAATGTTTGACTTCGAACTTCGATCTTCATCTTCTACATAAACTTTGTCTCTTTATCTTTCTCCCTTGAATTTCGCTAATTTGGCGTCAGTGAGTGCTACCCCGTGGGTGTCGGTGAATGTGACTTACCGAGCAAGATTTGCATATTAATGGCTGAGACTCGAGTAGTTAGAACTTATGGAGCTTGAGCTGTCACTTATTTAAATAAGGTAAATCAAATCTAAATCTGAGCGTAATGCGTTAGAAGACAATTTAATTACGAGCGAGGGATCTCTACATATGAAGCTTTCCGCTAGTTGGATTGTTTCTGAAATATGTCCTTTTTCCCATTAAATTGTCTTTCAATCTTTACGAATTTACATTATGAGATATGAGACGTTTCCTAGCAAAATTAAAATCAGGAACAATAAGTTTGTCTTTTGTTCTGGGAAACTGCGACCAATTTCAAAACTATTTTTGTTGTGCCTATTTCTCTGTTTTACTGGATGTTCTTCTTTCACTATAGGAATGGATACATGCAAATTTGCTAATATTGTCTTGAATGTCATCTGAAGCAGTGAAGAAACAAGCAAGAAAAGGTTCCAAAGAATTAAAGAGAGGGCCCTCCACATTCCCATTCGCGACAGGATTTTGAACTGCAAACCTTCGTTAAAACTCGTGCTGGTTATTGTAGTATTAGGAACAATAGTGACATTCTTCCATTCTCCTGCTGTTCATATTTCAGATCATCCATTAAAATATGGATCTCGGTACGTCATTTTTTTTACTGGCTTTCAAGTGCTTCAGTTAAAACACATCTTCTTGTATTTCCCTAATGTTACTGGATCTATATATGCAATTCCACTTTGTAGCTTTACTGACTATGAGAAATGAAACATAAACGAAAATGCATATTAATGCAGAATGTGAAACTGGGAGAAACACACATTGAGGAAACTAGATAAGAGATCTAATGGTGATAGGGGAATTTGTCGGCTGCAAATTATGTAGAAGATTATGATATTCTGATCTGCTTTCGTTATTAATTATCTGGTCTTAGTTTACCCTTTGAATCTTCTGCACAAAGTAATAGTTTGCAAAGTATATTTCTTTTTCTCCTCCTAGGAAAAAGTATTCTTGTCTTGGCATATTACTATTTATCCGTGACAACTTATGCACTTCAAATTCTAATAATCCAAATTTGTAATATTTGAGTGAGAAGTTTAGTTGCTCACTTGCAAGGTTTTATAGCAGATGGACAGGTAGTGATGCTCATTATATATCCTTTTCGGAAGTCAACTGGGATGAAGTTTCTGATGTTGTAGAATCACTTACTGACCGGGACAAATATCTGGGAATTGGCTTGCTGAACTTTAATGATAGCGAGGTTGACCATTGGAAACAACTCTTTCTGGAAGCGGAGCATGTTGTTCTTCAACTAGACCATGCAGCCAACGACTTAACATGGGAAGCCCTATACCCTGAATGGATTGATGAGGAAGAAGAATTCGAGGTCCCCTCTTGTCCTTCTTTACCTAAGCTTCAAATTCCTACGAAACCCCGAATAGATCTTGTGGCCGTGAAGCTTCCATGTGACAAGTCAGGTAGGTGGTCAAGAGACGTGGCTCGGTTGCACTTGCAACTCGAAACAGCAAGGGTTGCTGCATCTGCTAAAGGGAATCGTTTTGTACATGTCCTTTTGGTGACCAAATGCTTTCCTATCCCAAATCTCTTCCGATGCAAAGAACTTATCGCACATGAAGGGAATGTGTGGCTTTATAGACCGGACTTGAATGTCTTGAGGGACAAACTAATGCTCCCCGTTGGATCATGTGAACTGTCAGTTCCTCTAAAGGCTAAAGGTTTGTGCTAACCCATTATTACTTCATGCATATGATCTTCATGGGGTTACCCAAGGTGATCTGTAGGCGTATTGTCGTCAACCTTTCAATTGCCTTAAAAGTCAGCTGGAAATGGTCATAACTCATAAGTCTATTTGAAAAGTATATTATATTCTATGGATCAAATCTGGAAGTATAGATAAGAGATCAAATCTGGAAATACACAATATAGATATAGTATTAGGTATGTTATTGCTATATTTACTTAGAGAGACTTTATTGCTATATTTACTTGAGAGACTAACTGACCAAAACTTTGCGAACAGAATACTTTTACTCAGAAAGAGCGAATAGAGAAGCATATGCAACAATTTTGCACTCTGCACATGTATATGTCTGTGGAGCTATTGCGGCTGCTCAGAGTATCCGAATGACTGGTTCGACACGGGATCTTGTAATACTTGTTGATGAAACAATTACTGAGTACCACAGAGGAGGCCTCGAAGCAGCTGGTTGGAAGATCTACACAATTCAAAGAATCAGGAACCCAAAGGCTGAACGGGATGCATACAATGAATGGAACTACAGCAAATTCCGTCTTTGGCAGTTGACAAATTATGACAAGATAATTTTTATAGATGCCGACCTACTCATTCTTAGAAATATTGATTTCCTCTTCGAGATGCCTGAGATAACTGCAACAGGAAACAATGCAACATTATTCAACTCAGGAGTTATGGTGATCGAACCATCAAATTGCACGTTTCAGCTGCTAATGGATCACATCAACGAGATCGAATCTTACAATGGCGGTGACCAGGGGTATCTAAACGAAATTTTCACGTGGTGGCATCGCATACCAAGGCACATGAACTTCTTGAAGCACTTCTGGGAAGGTGATGAGGAAGAGAAGAAGGAGATGAAAACTCGTTTATTCGGAGCCAACCCTCCAATCCTCTATGTCCTCCATTATCTCGGCAATAAACCTTGGCTTTGCTTCCGGGACTACGACTGCAATTGGAATGTAGACCTTCTGCTGGAGTTTGCTAGCAATGTTGCGCATAAGAGATGGTGGAAGGTGCACGATGCCATGCCCGAAAATCTGCAGAAGTTCTGTTTGCTTCGATCGAAGCAGAAGGCGCAATTGGAGTGGGACCGAAGGCAGGCCGAGAAAGGAAACTACACGAATGGTCACTGGAAAATAAAGATCAAGGACCCTCGATTGAAAACATGCTTTGAAGATTTTTGCTTCTGGGAGAGTATGTTGTGGCATTGGGGTGAAACAAACTGGACAGACAATTCTTCTGTTACTCCACCTCCTACTTCCACCACTACTACAGTGTCTCTCTCATCCCTGTAAAACTTTTTGTTTTTGTTTTTACTTTTCCTTTGAATTCATTTATCATTGAGATTATACTATGACAGTAGTTAGTAGTGAAAGTTACATATAAAGCAAGTGCTTCTTCTTGTTGCTGAAGCTCAGCTTCCTCTTCTGCCCGGACGGTTTACTTGGCTCTCCATGAAAAATGTAACTCAGAAATATAGGGGACTATTTAAGTGTTGCTTTCATTTCAGAAGCAATTGCCTATCTTCAAGAGCAAATAATTAGTAAATATGTATATTTTAACAGTGGCTTTATAAAATATTTTTTAGTTCTTAAATTTTATGAGGTTTCAATTATCTTGTCAGATTTTGAATAATGTCTATGCCGCTAACACCAGTTGATGGAGTGTAGATGCAACAAATTATTTCTTAAAATTTGGACGAGATTATATGATATGGTAGCTAATTGGATGGTCAACCTGAGTAAAACTTGGTAGCTAATTGGATGGTCAACCTGAGTAAAACTTGGTAGCTAATTGGATGGTCAACCTGAGTAAAACTCGGTAACCTAAACGTTAGAGGTTCAATCTTTCGTCCCATATTTGTTGTACTAAAAGATAGTTCCCATATTTGTTGTACTAAAAGATAGTTAATTAGATGGTGGATTTGGGAGGTTATTTGATTATATTTGTTGTTAATATGTAATGATTAATGACTATTACATAATAGGTAAGAATTGATTTTAATAATGTTTTTTGAGTACGACGTGTTGGGGAGGGGCTTCGAACTCACGAACCTTTTATTTTTTTAATTTTAGTAACTCACAACCTCATGATTGGAGGTATATGCCAATTAAGTACGAGATTTTGAGTCTCGCGTATCTACCATTTCACCGCCAAGACATCTTGAAAGTGAATCATATTCCATGAATATGATATCTATCTAGTGTGATGTATGGAATATATGACAAAAGTGGAGTGTTAGAGTATTTCTATTGCTCGGTCATGTCATATAAGTCCGAGTCAGACATCCAATTGCTTCGATTTGAATTATCCGGAGGATGCCTTATTATTATATCAAAAAGATGGACAATCAAACCTATTTCTCGATTCAATAGAAGCCTATGCTCGCTTTGACAATAATAATAATGTTAGTTAGAAGAATTAATGGGATCATTTGACTCAATTATATGAATTGATTTTTTTTTAAATACAACAACGTGTAGATTCAATTACGTGAATTAATTTTGTTTTAAAAAATACACAAATTATTTTTTCCTTTTTTAATACAACAACATGTAGAGATGAAGATTCAAACTCACGACTTTTTTAATTGGAGATTAGTGCTTTAACCTTGAGCTCACATAGACAACTAATCTAGTCCTCTCTTTACTTAGTCCAAATAACGAGTTCCGATTATAGGGATCCACAACGTGAGCCATACGACATCCATTTCAGGAAAAAAAATTAACATAAATAGTTAATAGGATAGATTAGAATAAATTAATTTACATTATTTGGAACCATATTACCAAAAATTAGTTCATTAATTAGACATGGTTTGTACGGAAAAACGTATCAATTATATAGATTTATATGTTAGTTATGCAACTTGATAAATAAACCGACCTTAGCTCAGTTGGTAGAGCGGAGGACTGTAGTGAGGTTTCTCAGATATCCTTAGGTCGCTGGTTCGAATCCGGCAGGTCGGATTTTATTTTTCTCTCATTTTGCACGTAGAATTCCTAGAAATAATTCAGTTAAACAAAATCAAATACTATTTATTCTCATGAAATTTCTGGAACATTTTGTATACAAATATCAATATCATCTCTGGTGCCTTCAAAAAAAATTTTAAAAAAAATCATTTCCTTCCCTCCATCCACATATTATTCTGCTAACGCCCATTGCTCATAGATTTCAGGCGGTATTCAATTCAAGTTCCAAGAGCAGGGATGGTCTTGGTTACGGCCCGAAATTTCAGACTCTCTGCAGTTTCAAATTCACCAATTCTTCCAGAGACTGGCTTCAGATGGTCTTTAATCTTGCCTAGAAAAATTTCCTTCCCATTTGTTGAGCATCCGCTTCCTTTTAAGTTGAGTAATCCACTTATAGTTCATGCCAGAAAGAGAAATTCAGAATCGGAGCCAGTTCTCAAACGAAACATTGTCGAGGAAGTGTCGATGGACGAAGAAGAGGACATTTATCTCGATGAACTTGAAGATGGTAAAAACAAAAACCCTCTCTCGATTTCTCCCACTAGTTTCTAATTAATGTTAGATTAGACAGGTCTTAGATAAATAAATTACGGGACACTTTCTTGATTGCATAGATGAGATAATGGACGATGATGGCGAAGATTACTTTGAAGAAGAATATGTGGAGGATAATAATGCTGAAGTTTATGTAAGATTTCCGCCTCGTAGTATGGAGATTTTGAGCTGAGAATTTTAACGCAAATCCTTGATTTGTTTTAGTTTTATCTGAAGGTAGGGGATGGGGGGGAAGGAGGTGGAATTTCCCTTGCCGGGACATGGTGGGATAAAAAAGCACTGGCTATAGCTGAAGAAGTCATTCTTTCTTTTGATGGCGAGTTGAAGATTTATGCCTTCAAAACAGTCTCTAATTCCACTGTTCAAGTGCGCATTGAAAAGCTTTCGAACAAGTAAGTTTTGCAATCCCTGTAGTTTTGTGTGTGTTTCTTTTTATGTTCTTTTAGAAGTTAAATGAAAATGCATTGCACCTATTTGAATATTACACTGAGGTTTGATTTTCTTGCAAGATAATGGTTTCTTGTTGCTGCATTTATAAGAATGTAGTGCCATCTGCAAGCTCCTCCTACTTGCTGTCTTCTAAAAGGGTTGTTTGAGTTATGTTGATGTTAAAAACATAATAGAGGGTCGCAAATCTTAGCTTCCACGGCAAAACAATATAGCAATAATAATAACAAAAATAGGAAAGAGAGATAACATCGAAAAATATACATTTGTTCAGTTGTTTCTGCTATTTTATAGGTTTCACTATCATGAATAGGAGAATATTACTCTAACACTACCAAGACAAGTTTTCTCACTGTTTTTCTCTCTAAAAACAAGACACAAAACCCTTCTCCTCTAATCACCTGAGCCTCCCCGAAATCCCCTCAACCCACGTACCTTTTCAGGAAAGAAAGATTACTAAGTTTTATGGAGTATGTTGCTCAGGCTGGAAAATTCACCTTGCTTCCAGTATTGGAAGGCTCGGCTCTCTAGATAGATATTCACATTTGGCATACTCATGCCCAACCCACGGGTTTGGAATCTTGTTCTACCATTGATGGCATGGCATGCAAGACCGTGTGCTAGCAACACCCACTTGTCTTTAACCAGATTTTTTTATGGGCTTTTGTTTAGACTCTAAAACTTAACAGTTGAAATTACATTCTCAGTTGGGAAATGGAAGTTCTTTTTGCTTTCAAGTTAATCAAGAGAGAATCATTATGATTTAGATTGAAGTTTTCCTCCTGATATTTGTGTTCTTACTGAGCCTGTTTCACAACACAAGTCAAGGCCTTAAAGCAGAATAGGATTTCATTTTTCATAATCCATATTACTTGAACTATTTCACATCAATCCAAAGGCATTCTCGATATTAAAGATGTTACAACTTACAAGTTGAACTGTTGAAGTCTACTTTAAGCATACAGGAAACGTGTTACATTTTAGATGTTGTTTTCCAAGTTTACTGTCGGTGTGTCTGTTCTTAGTAAGACTAGCAACACCCACATTTCTCTAACCAAAATTTTGACAGGTTTGTTTGGACTTCACAACTTAACAGTTTTAATTATATTCTAAGCTGGAAATGGAGATGCCTTTTGCTTTCAGGTTAACCAAGAAAAAATATCATGATTGGGCTTCAAGTTTGCCTTGTGAAATTAGTGTTGAACCTGTCTCACAAGTCACAACACAAGTCAAAGCAGAATAGGATTTTATTTTCCATACTCCTTGCTACTTGAATGATATCACATCAATTCGAAGGATTTTTGGATATTAAAGCTGTCACAATTTGAAGTCTACTTTAAGCATAAAGGGAAATGTGTTACATTACATTTTAGATTTTCAATGTTTTCCCAAGTTTACCGTCATTCCCTGTGTTCTTGGTAAGACTAAGGACCATTTCCTGGGTTTTAATTTCCAACAATGGACCTCAGATCTGGTTCCCCCAGTATGGAAGATATTGAGGCTTTTTCTTCAACATATCGAACACGATTGGATGAAGCAGAGCTTGCTAAATCTGTGCCAGAGAACATATCTTTAGAGGTATGCTTCCTTTTTTCCTGCTTTAATTCCCTCATTTCTTTCTTCTCATCAACCAATCTATCTACCTTTAGAGGTAGCTTCTGAATGAGAATTGTTTATTCACTTCGATTGCATTAGTTTCCTAAATTGCCAAGAGAGAAAGAGAATTGCTTTTTTCAGAATTACTCCTCTTTAAGCTTTTAGGTCTAAATGGATGTTTATCCTTCCTACATTATAAGGTCTCATCTCCTGGGGTTGAACGGGTTGTTCAGATTCCTGATGAGCTGGACCGGTTCAAAGAAAGACCATTGTACGTGAAATACACAAATGATATAGCTACAGCTGGTTCCTTCTCAGAGAGCGATGGGGTTTTCAAACTTGTGTCGTTTGACTTGGAAGCAAGATGCTGTTCTTGGAGTTTAGCAGACGTGAGGATAAATAGAGAGAAGGCAGGGAAAGGAAGACCACTAAGCAAAAAGCAAAGAGAGTGGCGTTTGGAGACTCCCTTTGATTCATTACGTTTGGTTAGGTTGTATTCTGATTTTGATATGTAATAAAATTTTGGTTGGAATTTGGCACCCCTCATTCGAGGTGTCATACCCCTCGGTTGATTTTAAGATCGAAAATTTGTTGTTGATAATTTTTACCACCGGAAAAAATTTCCAGTTGCCCCTTGTTATATGTTAGTCTTGTATAAACTTAGAGATATTAAGGAGTCGAGCTTATGTGGAGTAATTAGTAAATGAGTTTGCTTCCTTAAAGTATGAGTTTGTTAATCTCAAGATTATATAAATCTATATTAAACCCATCATTTCTTCTATATAGTGATCTCTACAAGTAAACTATACCAAGGCTGCGTTTTGTTGGCAAGACAAAAAATGCATTTGCCATGACAAAAATTCTTATCAATTTAAATTAGTGATTCAGTGTTTTTGGAGAGCAAAACACTTAAAAAGCTCTAGGTGAAAAAATACTTATTGTGTGGTTTAAGCCCACATGTTCATTGGAGAAGCACTTAAAAATACTTCAAGGGTATAAAACTAAACATCAAAATGGCTTGTCATCAAGTATTTTATTATTATTGTTGTTAGTTTTCTAAAATAACTTATTTAAAAAGCACTTATAAACTTACTTTTTATACAGATACAAGTTTCTATAATTTAAGTAGTACACAGACATTCCAACTGTGGACTGGCAGACTTGAAGAATCCATCCTTTTAGTCGAATTTGGAACCTTCACCTCAAACATATTGTACTGCTTTCAATAGGATACTTTACCCTTTCTTACTCTATCAATTTCTCTATTTTATTTTGTTCGTTTTGAAATCCCATTTTGAAATCGAACTTTAAGACCAATTTTCTTATTTTAACATCGTTGTACATCAATTGCAGGTTGTGATACACGGTAAACTGTAATGCCAGGAAATTCATACCTTATCTGTAACGAGCAAAAGGGCAATTGGCAGAGGCTCTCCTCGTTCTGTCCCTGGTGGAAAACGACCAATCAGCCTCTGCCTCTTCCACAGCGAAGCTTCATAAGAAAAAGAAAAAGAAAAAAAAGAGGGACCATTTTGACCACAGAGCAGAAGAGTCCACGCCGAGTGATGAATGGAAAAACGGCTCCTTTTGTCGTCAGTTTTAACTTGCTTACAATATTTTATTCCTTCCATAATATTTTCATGACTCCCTACTTCTTTTAGGCTAACAACTCACTAATCAATTACATGCATGGTAATTAGCAAAAGGATTAAAGTAGGAGGAGAAAAGGAAGATACATCTTTTATTTTTTTCTATCTAAAGTTGTTACAAAAAGTATATTCAGGCCGCAGCCAAGGGAAAAGGCCAAAAAAGTTAGCTTTTTTTTTTTTTTTTTTTTTTTTTTTTTTTTACTTTCTGCTTTATTGACCTATTTCATTGTCTTTACAAATTTGTAATTTTGCAGATTAATGGAAGGCTCTCACAGAGATAGAGAGAGGGAAACCAATATGTGTAAATGAGGGGTATCAGGTAGAAATGAAAACTTCTAAGTTAAAAGAAGGGCAAGGGGGTTGGTGTGGGTGATGGAAAGCAGTGACTGCACTGCATGCGCACACTATTGTCATTATCGTTTATAAAACTCCAATCTGTATTTCCTTTTCAAGACCAGCACATAAGGAAAAATATCTATAATTCTTTTGGAGAATATATAATCCACTCAAGGCTGTGGCCTTTGGGGGGCTTTTAGTACTGATGAGGCCGCTTGCTGGGATGGAGCCGGGGAGAGGCCCAGGGGCTGTGTGGGGGTGGCTTCTCATTCTCATCGTCGGCTTATGGGCAGTCGCCGAGGGGTTCCCGGAGAAGGATCTGGTTGGGAGGCTTCCCGGCCAGCCGAAGGTCAGTTTCAGACAGTTTGCAGGTTATGTCGATGTCGACGTTGATGCCGGGAGAAGCTTGTTTTACTACTTTGCTGAAGCTCAGCAAGATCCACATCTCATGCCCCTCACTCTCTGGCTCAATGGAGGTTTGCTTCTGTTTTTTCACTGTTATGAGTATATCATGTGATGTCCGTTTCTCATTTCTGCATAAGAATTATTTTTATTTAGGTCAAATTAATTTGATCCTTGTGGTTTGAAACATAATTTTAATTTCATCTTTGAAAATTTAAAAGTTTCCATTTAATCTCTATTATTTTGACTTAGTTTTATTTAATTCTTATAATTTAGTTAAACTTCATCGAATTGTTTCTAAATTGTCTTTTACCCACCCGAAAACCTACCCTTTTTATCCTTCATTGATTCTTAGCCTTAAACCATAACTTTATACTTACTAAAGTATAGTCAATCAAATAGAAACGTCAATTCATTGTCATGTAGATTAAAACCGTACCACGTATTTAATATGGGTAATGATAATAATAACAATGTGTGAACTTTGACTGAATCATAAAAAATCATATTAAAAGTTCTAAAAGTTTAGAGATTAAATTGAAACTAAGTCCAAATGTATTTATGATAAATAAACCTTGAAACTTCGAGAGATCTGTGAAAAATAATGGTACAGTTTGGATCAAGTACAGCAGAAAATGTTTCTTTCTGGTTCTCTGTTTGGATCTCTTGAGAGAATCGATTATATTAAATGCTTCAAAAGCCATTATTTTTTAATAAATATGCAGGTCCAGGTTGCTCCTCCGTTGGCGGGGGTGCCTTTACAGAGTTGGGTCCATTTTATCCTGAAGGTGATGGTCGAGGCCTTCGAAGAAACTCCATGTCCTGGAATAAAGGTACCTTTTTTCTTTTTTAATTAAAACTAACCAAATTCATGTGTAACCTCCCAACTTTATTATTATAAAATTCTTATATAATGTTGTGCTGAATTGACTTTATTAGCCTCGAATCTACTGTTTGTGGAGTCTCCTGCGGGGGTAGGATGGTCATACTCGAATACAACTTCTGACTACACTTGTGGCGATGCCTCCACTGGTAATTTCCCTTCTTGAACTTCAAATTTATTTTAGTTGATAAACTTTAAAGAGTTTTGTTTTATTAGTCAGAAATCAGAATTTTGAGATTGGATCTGTGCAACTTTGGCAGCCAGGGACATGCTTACCTTTATGTTGAAATGGTATGACAAGTTTCCAGCTTTCAAAGATAGGTCATTTTTCCTTACAGGGGAAAGTTATGCAGGTAAATTTGGAATATTTTTGTTTTCTTTCTTTCTTGTTTTTTTAATCTTTGTACTTTTAAAATATTTAGTTTGGTCCTGTACTTTCAAATTTGGTTCATTTTAATCTTTGTACTTTGAGAATGTGACCATTTTTGGTCCTTTCATTTTATTTTAAATCTCATTTTTTCTATTACAATTTCAACACCACAATACAATCAATATATTTATTAAAATGTAAACATGACTTTATACTAATTAGTTTTCGTTAGGTGTAAAATTTGTGTTTAAATCTTGCGAAGAGTTAGGGACCAAAATGAACATTTTTTAAAAGTACAAAGACTAAAATGAACATTTTCAAAATACGTTGATTAAAATGAACAAAAATTAAAAGTATAAGGACTAAAATGAACATTTTCAAAGTACAGAAACTAAAATGAACCAAAGTTAAAAGTATAGAGACCAAAATAATATTTTAACCCTAAACTTTTAAAGGTGGTAAGTTTTGTCTTCGTATTTTAAAAATATTATTCTTATAGATCTCTAGTTAAACTTTCAATTTTATCTTTACGCCACCCAGACCATTAAACCTTTATTTTACCTTCAATTTGCTAGATAAACACTTAACGCTAACGGAGTTAATAATGATAATAAGCCATTACACGAAAATTGAAAAGTTGATAGGTTTATTGGAAATTTTAAACTACAAAAAATGAGATAAATACAACTTTAAAAATTCAAGAAACTATTTTGAATAGGACCAAATAGAGACATGCTTACGTGTAATTTAACTTTGTTTGTTTCTTCAACTTTAGCTGCGAAAAAGTAAATTAGGAAATGAAATGAAAAGAAAAAAGATATTTATTTGATGCAGGCCATTACATCCCTCAACTAGCTGATGCAATACTGGACTACAACATTCAGTCAAAGGGTTTCAAGTTCAATATGAAGGGAGTTGCAGTAAGAAATTAAAAACCCTTATCGTCTCTATTAATTTCTAGATCCATCACTGATCGATTTTATTAACTAATTAATGGACATACAGATTGGGAACCCATTACTTAATCTGGACAGGGATGCCCCAGCAACCTACGAATTCTTTTGGTCTCACGGGATGATTTCGGATGAAGTTGGGCTTGCAATCATGAGAGATTGTGATTTTGATGATTATGTGTTGACAAACCCTCACAATGTAAGCAAATCGTGCGACGAAGCCATGTCCGCAGCCAACAGCATTGTGGGCGAGTACATTAACAACTATGATGTTCTTTTGGATGTCTGTTACCCCTCCATTGTCCAGCAAGAGCTCAGATTGAAGAAACTGGTTCGTACAAATAATACATCTTTTTCTTTCTTTGTTTTGTTTTTTCTTTTTATGGCCTTTTTCAGTTTTTGGTTTTTGGGTTTAATTTCTCTGTTGCAGGCAACTAAAATAAGTATGGGAGTTGATGTTTGTATGACCTATGAAAGGCATTTCTATTTCAATTTACCGGAAGTTCAAAAGGCTCTTCATGCCAATCGGACTAATTTGCCCTATGAATGGTCCATGTGCAGTGAGTAAGCCCACTTTCTCTTTTCAGCTTAAATTATTAGTTTAATCTAATCATCAACTTTTGATTGCTGTGTGTGACTATTTATATAATTTATATTTCTAAACTTTGAACCAAAAAAATTTCGATCACATAATATGTTTATTAAATCAATGTTGGCTGATTTTGGCATCATGTGGGAGACAGAGAAAAGAAAGTTGACAGTACGCAATTAGGCAAAAATAAGAAAACATTCTGCAAACCAACTCTATCTTGTCTAGTTATTTACTTTGTTTTATCAAATTTTTTATCACACAAAATGTCATGTCATCATTTAATTACTAAAGTCACAATTCATAATTCATTATTGTACCTTACTTTCTAAAATTCAAAACCTAGCTAGAGTGAATTATCCAATACCAATTAAACTTTTTCAATTACTCTGAGGTGAAGTTATTGCTAAACACACTCTTAACTCTAAATCTTGCATTTTGGTTTAACTTTGAGCAGCATATTGAATTACAATTACGACGATACAAACATCAACATGCTTCCCTTGCTGAAGAGAATAGTCCAAAACCACATCCCAGTTTGGATCTTCAGGTACATTAATTATACCCAAATTAATTACTGTTGGAAACAGCTTTTGAATATTGAAAATGAATGAATGAATGAATATACGCAGTGGGGATGAAGATTCAGTGGTGCCACTGTTGGGGTCTAGGACGCTAGTCCGGGAGTTGGCTCATGACCTTAAATTGAAGGTCACAGTACCCTACGGAGCTTGGTTCCACAAGGGGCAGGTCGGCGGATGGGCAATCGAATACGGCAATATTCTGACATTTGCCACGGTCCGAGGGGCATCCCATATGGTACCCTACGCCCAGCCCTCCAGAGCTCTCCATTTGTTCTCTTCATTTGTGAGAGGCAGGAGGCTCCCCAATTCAACTCGCCCTTCTATTCATGATTAACAACAAAATCCAAAAGTCCAAACCCAATTTCGTTGTGTTTGTTTTTATATATGTTGCCTTGATATAAATAACATCATATTTAAAGAGTGGAATGCAAGACTTTATTAGAATGGGGAAAACACACACCATTCATATATTTGCATTTCCTTCATTCTACTATGTTGAGAAATTACAACGCATATATATAGCTTTATATACACACTCAGCCATGTATTATTGAGGTTAATTGGATTCAAATCAAATATATGTATATATATATGTGTGTATGCTTCGTGAGAAGAGAAACAAAGCTTGGGAAGCAAAAACCAAACCCCAAGTTTTGTAATGCACACAAGCATTATGCTTAGCATGGAAGCCAAGTCTTTTTTTTCCCCCCCACAACTTCACTTCCAAAATTTCTCTCTAGGTAGCTATATAAAAACACTTCCCATTTTACCAACTTCTCCATAGCCAGGCCTGCCTTTCTTTGTTTATCTTACAAAATAGTTCTGAGATTCAATGGCCTCTATCGATAATAATATTGACTACTATTCCCCATATTTTCCCCTACAACCTTATCATCCTTTTCGGCCTCCACCACCTCAGAAACCAGTTGCTCCTCCATGTCCTCCGCCACCATGTCCTCCGAAGCCAATTGCTCCTCCGCCACCACGCAAGCCAATTACGCCGCCTCCGCCACCTCAGAAACCAATTGCTCCTCCACCGCCACGCAAGCCAATTACACCGCCTCCACCACCTCCAAAACCAGTTGCTCCTCCGCCGCCACGCAAGCCAACGACGCCGCCTCCACCACCTCCAAAACCGGTTGCTCCTCCGCCGCCACGCAAGCCAACGACGTCGCCTCCGCCACCTCCAAAACCGGTTGCTCCTCCACCACCACGCAAGCCAATTACGCCGCCTCCACCACCTCCAAAACCGGTTGCTCCTCCACCGCCACGCAAGCCAATTACGCCGCCTCCGCCACCTCCAAAACCAGTTGCTCCTCCACCTCCACACAAGCCAATTACGCCGCCTCCGCCACCTCAGAAACCAGTTGCTCCTCCGCCGCCACGCAAGCCAATCACTCCTCCTCCGCCACCACAGAAACCAGTTGCTCCTCCGCCTCCACACAAGCCAATCACTCCTCCACCGCCCCCAAAACCGGTTGCTCCGCCACCACCACGCAAGCCAGTTACGCCTCCACCACCCCACAAGCCAATGGCACCCCCACCACCATACAAGCCAATATCTCCCCCATCTCTGCCGCCGCCGCCTTCCCCGGACAACCACCCGACGGTAATAATCGTAGTGTTTGTGTCATTGGGTGGGCTTTTCCTGCTTGCATTCATGGCAGCCGCACTATTCTGTTTTGTGAAAAAGAGAAAGGAGAAAAGTGTGGAAGAAACAGATATCATACACATTGAGGAACACAGGAAGATCAAAGAGGCCATAGTTGCAGGACCCCATGGATCATACCAAACTGTGGTGCTATCAGTTGAAGATGACGTCCACGTTGATGAAGAAATCAGAAGGAGCGAAAAGGTTGATGATAAAGGGTTGCATCGTATGCACGAAGCAGGCGATCCAAGCACCATACAAGAGCCAACACTTTCATCTTCCACTCATCATCATCCTCATCAAAAGCCTTCCTAAAAACCACAAAATTTTAATCACTTTCGACAAAACAAGTTTAATAAAATATAAACAAAACCCCAACTATATATATGTGATTATTCGTACCGATAATAAACTGATTTGATTTTTTTTTTTCTCTTCCTTTTCCTGAAAAATGTGGTTTGTGTCAATATACCCTAATGTAATTGTCATATTGAATTCTCGTAAAATGGATGAAGATGTTATTGATTTTAAACAAATTTGTTTTAAATTTGACTCAAACAAAGGTAAATATGTTTTAGGCGGGTCTACTATTCTCTTTCTGCTTACTGAAATTCAGCTCCAATTCATAATCTTTTAAGTATTTCTCAAATTGATCTTTAATTTTTTGAAATTCTCGATGTTACTCCTAATCTACCACGAAAATCTCACGTTCACATCCTTTAAAAAATGGTTAAAATTTATTAATGAATAGCTGGGTTTTTTTTTTTTCTGGTGAGATATGTTAACGAATTGACATATCATTAAATTACTTTTTATTAACATAATTGAATCATAAATATATCACTGGACTATTACTTGACACAAAAATATAACTGGATCATCAGCAAAATCTATTTCTTCTAGACGTACTCATACTAATGTGTCGACTAATATGTCAAAAATAAATATATAATGACTCATCAAACTTTTTTATTAACAAATTATAAACATACTTTTTTTCAAAGTACATATAAACATACCTTTTATGAAAAGAATTGATGGAAATTTTTAATATATTATTAGTAAACTTGAGAATTTTGAAAGATTATCTATAAAAACTTTTTTTTTTCTTAAAAGATTATAGACGGTATGATATGTTTAGCATATTATTTTAAAATATTATATAAGTTAAAGTTAATGCTTGCTAGCCACGTGACTACCTATTGGAAAAATTCCTCCCTTGACTTCAACATTTTAATGAATTGAAATTAATATTATTGTTTGAGTTCCTTTATAAAAAAAGAGAGAAATATATATATACACACTTAGTTTATTTTTATTATTATTTAATTAATTGTCATATCTTATATCTTATTTATTGTAGTTCAAATTAATTGCTTCTTGAACGGAATGAGGAATGGGTGGGTAGGTATGAGAATTTAAACTTTTGACTTTTATTTTCAGAGATATTTTTTTAGTGGCAAGGATTTAAACATCAATTCCACTTCAAGGGAGAAGTTATATGCTTTTATCCAACCTTTATGGGAGATTACTAATATTTATTTTTTAAAAATTATTAATATAATATTTAATAACTTGTTTTAGTTGAGTATCAAGAGCCATTTGTTATCCTATTTTAGATTTTTTTTAAGAGTGAATATTTGTTTGACATATTTGTTTTTTAAAATTATTTTTATATTCTATGATCAAACTCGTGGAAATTTTGAAGACAATATTTTTTATTTTGATAGAGTTTTCAATTTTAATTTTTAAACTTTAAAATTCACGTAAAAAAAAGAATAATTTCCTTTTTATAAAATTGTGTCATTTTTGTTAAAATTAAAAGATGTAAAACACATTATATTATAAATTATATAAGATTATACAATAATCACTATACAAAATTTATAATACATACATTAATAAATTAATTAATAAAATTTTATATTGAACTAAATATTTAGTTAGTAACTCCCAATAATTTACAAATATATTATTAAACACACTTTGAACTTTTTTTTAAATTGAGATTCAATTTTTAAATCTATTACCAAACACATATTTCGAAAATACTAAAAACATGAATACAATTATGTTTTTCCTAAAATCAATATTTTGTAGGTACAACTCCTACAACTAAAACCCAATATTGAAAACATTTAAAATAATGAGAATTATTATAATTATAATTAACAATTATTTTCATAAGTATATATGAAAAATTTAAGTCTAAATCTCTATCTTATAGTAGATTATTGGCACTTTAGCTCTTTAAGCAAATTTACAGAGGAAATGGAATACTTTTTTGAATATAGAGGGTGGCATTTAATTTGTTGCTCTCGATAGAGAAAAGCTTCTCCAAAGTTTTTTTTTTATGATCAAATAAGGTTTACAAGGAAATCTATTTTTTTTTCCCATAAATATTTATACTAAAACTAAAATTGACAACCATCTCACTACCAAAAAATAGTAGAGCACCCACTCTCTCAAATTTGTATACATACAGATTAAATTTGTATATATCTTATATAATAAAATTACATAAAAGTACTTTAAAAATAGTGTGTTAATAGGTGATAATTTTATTACCCTTTGATATGAGAATGAAACGTTCGCATTTATGTAGTTATATTAAAAATTAATTACTTGAGTTCTAAAATATAATATTTTTTTAGTAAAAGTCATAAGTTTTAAATTATTCGTATTTTGGAAAAAAAAAACATATTTCTTACTTATTACAGAAAGCGGAAAAAGATTTGGTGCAGGCCACCCACCCCCCCTTCCTTTCACAAGGATTTACATTTAGTCCACGTGGCAGGAAAAAACAATCGTCTTCTTTAACACCTCACTCTTCAACTTCCGTCTTTATAGAAAGATTCCAGCTCTACGCGAACCCTTCTGCAAAAGCTGTTAAAAAGAATGTTTATTTGTTTCTTTGATTTTTTGATTTTTTGTTCTACACCACAAAAATTAAATTTTTTCCAAAAGAAAAATTAAAGACGTTATTTGATAAATTTAAATTTGATTATCCAACACTGACAATTCCCACGGACGGTGGCTTAACTAGCAAGAAAAAAGTTCTAGCATCTAAGCAAAATTTCTTCTTTTTTTTCCCCCTAATTTTCTATAAAATTACACCCAAAAAAAAAAGGGATAGAAATAGAAGTAGAACTAGGAGAGTATTGGGATCTCCTTGTTAAAAATCCAGCTGAACTTGACCCCATGCGGCTTCAACTTCTTGGCTCGCTCATCGGCTCGCTCCTGAAGCTTCCTGATTCTGGGCG